GCATTATTTATTTATCTTCAGAATACAAAATTAAAAAATAGAATTTAATAGATGTAAAACAATGTTGCTACACACTCATGAACAGTAGGTGGCGGTATGCCCGCCCCTTCCCTAGAGCCCGGTGGGATCGAAAACATTTTGAATGGAAATCAGTGGGGAGAAATTAATAAACTTTTGGTCCCAGTTGCTCTCTGTCATTGATTCCAGATATGCTGGTTGTGTATTCAAATTGTTTTTTTTTTTTTTTAGTTTCTCTTTGGTCAAAATCTGGTCAAAACCCATCAGTGAGATCGCACCAAACAGGAAGTTAAATGCACAAAGGATCCGGTAGATTTCCAAATAAAACACATCCGATCTTAACCCATGATCCTTTTTTTAACTAGTTTAATTAGTTTCTCCCGTATGCCACGACGTAATGCATTGATCTGAAAATCCACCTCAGACGCAACGCACGCAGTGGCGAGGGTTTGATCCGTCAGATGGAGTTAAATCACAAAGAATTCAATGTTGAATCGGGGCGGCAGCTAAATGCTAGGCGATGGGTAGCAGCCTAAACGTTGCAATTTCACATAATCCTGACGAGATCCGAAAAACCGTAGCAAAAACTAGCAAGCGGGTGATTATGTATGCTCTCTGTCATTGATTCCAGATATGCTGGTTGTGTATTTAAATTGTTTTTTATTTTTTTTAGTTCCTCTTTGGTCAAAATCTGGTCAAAATCCATCAATGAGATCGCACCAGACAGGAAGTTAATTGCACAAAGGATCCGGTAGATTTCCAAATAAAACACATCCGATTTTAACCCATAATCCTTTTTTTAACTAGTTTAATTAGTTTCTCCCGTATGCCACGACGTAATGCATTGATCTGAAAATCAACCTCAGATGCAACGCACGCAGTGGCGAGGGTTTGATCCGTCAGATGGAGTTAAATCACAAAGGATTCAATGTTGAATCGGGCGGCAGCTAAATGCTAGGCGATGGGTAGCAGCCTAAACGTTGCAATTTCACATAATCCTGACGAGATCCGAAAAACGTAGCAAAAACTAGCAAGCGGGTGATTATGTATGTTCACTAAGTAAATATTATGTAAATAAACCCTACACTTCTCGCTATAAATGTGATCAAAACCCATTTAAATGCAGAAACTGATTGAAATTATTGATTTTCCCACTAAAAGTTAGAGAAATCTCAGCCATGTTTATAGCAAAATGTTACAGTTTCACATTATCTTGAAAAATCTTTGCAAGAAACGAACAAGCAAGTGAATATGTACATTCCCTGAGTAAATATTCTGGCAACAAACTATACATTTCTCACTAGAAATGTAATCAAAACTCATTTTAATGCAAAAACAAACTCAAGTTATTAATCTTTCCACAAAAAATGAGCGAATGTCGGCCATCTATATTTATTTTTTTCTTCTCCCAGCTGGAATCTTGAAAGTCACGTGACTAGGACGTAAAACAATAGAAAGCGTATAGGTAGAAGAAACGTAACAGTACCACAAAAAAATGGCCATTAATGTACCTCCACTACGTTTTGCAGTGTGGACCAACGTAGTGGGGGTACATTTTCCCATGAGACTGGGTTGGCCCCTGAGCTGACGGCTTGGTTTGGTGTGTTTTGACTATGTGCTGCACTGTAGTCGACCATTAGGACATTTCCAGGAAAAAAAGAGGATGTCTGGTCACCCTACCATATCAACAATTTTATGTTTCAGTGAGAGAGTGCTTGTTGCTATGATGCATTTTTGCTTAGCAGTTTCGCTGGTTGTAAACCAACCAATCAGCGCACAGCTCATCTAAATATCCATGAGCATAACACAAAAGGAAGAAAACCAGTCGTTTCATTCTAGGCCTTTTAACCAGGCTTGCATTAGGGTATATAGAACACGAAATATGCCATTTTTAGCCCAACCAATGTTGCACACCCTATTCAGAGACCTTAAGGACCAGCATCAAATACCCTATAGAATCATTCTATGACCCCTTTAACTACCAAATTGATGGATGTGTTAGTAACTGCTGCCTGCAGAGGGTGCAAATCCAAGCAATTGCAAATCTCTTTTCAGGCTTTATTTAAAAAAAATAAGTATAGTTTTTTCTAGCATAATAAATGACTAGGCCCCTTTAGGATTTCCAAAGATAGCAGGCTTCCCAATCAATTAGGAATTGTATCATTTTTTTTTTTAACTGCACAATTGCCTTTCTTTTTTAACTAAAATGGTATTGAATATGCTCTTTGCTTTTCAAGCACAATGTGAAAGTGAAACCCAAGGTATTTAAGTTTTAAAAGACAAAGGCAAGGTAATGTTCTTTGTCTTTGTAAACTTTCAGTCATTGCAGATATGCTGCACGGTGTGGTGCATGTGGAGGGAAATGGAATGTGTAGCCATAAGGGAAATGTCCGAACATTCAGGCTAATCATTGCCGGTAAAGGAGCCTTCATTGCATGCTCCTTCAACGGTTACAAACATGTAAAATGGATGAGTGTGTCAGATCATTGAAACTGTTAAAAAGAATATATGGCGTGGGAGTCTGAAGCTCATGCTTTATCTCCAATGACTGAGTAACAGATACCAAGCAGAGTTACCGAGTGTCTCTTCTTGGCTGTGTCCAGGCTTTGATCCCTGCCGGCATTTCTGCTATTCCTCAGTATTAGCCCAGACCTCCTTGGCTTTCTGCGTTTTCACTGGTGGAGCAGGAGGAGTCATTTTGGGAAGCGCTGAAGTCTTTGAACTAAACTGATGGCTCTCTGTAGGGCCTCTGCCGATATGAAAGCCTTCATCTAGATGTTCTGTTTTAGCAAAACCCTCAGGATCTCCAGGGAATGCTAGGCTGTCAGTCCAGTGAAGGTCGGAGGATCCTTCTGGAGAGCCGACTGACCAGCGGTATTCTCGTTTGATGATCCGTGTGAATTCCTCCGGCCCTGTCTGGTCCCTTTCATCCTTACACGCAACACTCTTTGAGCGCTCTGGCTTTAGGGGAACAATCCTAGTGATCTCTGACTGGTAGCTGCTGCCTGACAGTCGATGGAGAGATGTCTTGTTGCTTCTTTCACCAAAAAAACCCTCAACATCGTCTCCACCAGAGTTACTGACCTTTCGTCCATGTGTTCGGACTTGTCGAAGTTTCACCTCTGCTAGCTCCTTGTTGTCGATAAGACCCTTTCCTCTGACCTTATACACATGTTCAGCTTTATTACTAGATGAAGAATTGTCATGTTCTACATTTCCAGGTCCATTTAGTAAGCCTAAATCAATGGTTGCCATTCCCATTTGATTTACCTTTCTCTTTACCTGCACTACACCTTGACTGGAGACCTCTTTGCCCTCACCAAACTCCTCTTTCCTGTTGTCTTTATATGCAGTGACAAATTGATCCTTTGATAATCCCTGATTGTCTTTTCTTTTGATCACTGGAGATACATCACTTTGATCATCTGGTTTGGATGTTTTTTCTGTTGTGTTGTCTGAGTCTGAATCTTTATTTTCTTCTCCGGAGGAATCGCTCCCAGACTTCTTGTTGACGAGCTCAGCAGGAATTCCAATATTCAGGCTCAGGGGCCTGCCTTTTTTTCTCGATTTAGAGCCCATCTTTTCCTTAATCTGGCACGAGGCTGTAGGTGCATCACTGTTTGCCTCTGGGCTTGAGGCTTGAGATGGTTTACTTTGCGATTTGTCTAGTAGACAGTCTATATTCTCAGGTAATTGAATTGCAGAAGACCAGGTCTCAGAGCATACAACTGCCTCTTTGGGTGTTCTTGTTAAAGGAAAATTATCAATATGGCTTTTCACTTCTCTCCTGTTATAACCTTCTTCCTCTTTATGTATAATTTTGGTAATGTCTATCTCTCTTTCCAGCTCCTTGTTCTCCCACGAAGAGTCAGATATGTGTGATTTGTTCTTCTCTTCTGCCCTCCAGTTGTGGTCTAGTTGATAAGGTTGCTGTTTTTCAATCAATACCCACTCCTCAGAGCCCTACATATTGGTATAGATTAAGCACAGTTAGACATGCTGAGCACAACTGCTAGCAAAATATAACATCTAAAAATGGTCTCCATTCCATAAGTGGGAGTAAAACATGTATTCTTTTGTTAAAGACTCAAGAAACAAATTTGTCAAAGTAATTTCATTCAGTGGGTGAAATTCATATATTATAAAGATGCATTACACAAAAACTGATGCTAGGTATTGGTTTAGATAATTATGGCATACAGCTAATAAAAACCTAAATTTTAGCTTTTCAGAAAATTCCAATTTTGGTTCAGACCAATAAAAAAACAGTTTTCAAAGAGAAATAACACATATTTAAACACAGTACAGAATATGCACTAAATATTTGGTCAGGGCTTTCTTTGCATAATTCCCGTACCCAGCATTATACCTATCAATCTAATTTATGCCAAGTTAGGAAATCATGTGAGTGGAATACAGTAGTGTTCTAATATTTACAGGAAGTTCTGCCTTTATACTTTATGGTCCAGAAGTGGCTTAAAACTAAGAATGTGAGCATTTATCTAGATACGTCATGATTTGGTGACTCAGGCAGATTTTTTTGAGGACATTGCTTGTCTATCTCTTCCAAACTCTTGAATGTACTGTTGCCACTTCCGTTTTAAAATTTTTATTTTTTTTCTGTTCCACTTATCTTTACATAAATATTGGAGGGTGTAAATGACCCTGTGCTGGACAACAGTTATGTTACCAGTCTGCCTAATGATAGTTCAAGCAATACCATGAACATAAAATAACATTTATGTCTTGAAAAGTTATATTGCAACTTTGTCGTATTCAACATTTTGTTTCTACATTGAGCTCATTTTAGAGCTTTTATTTGCGATAAGCCATAATCTTCAAAATTAAGTATATTACCCTTTGCGTTGGTAGTCTATATAATGGGTTTCATTTTTTCACTATTTGAGAAGCGCTGTGCATCAACTGGCAATGCTACACACAGTAGACTGTTTCATGAAGAGGAACAGTAAAAGATGTGCAACCTCAGGTGAAGTCACCAGAGTCTTCTGGACGAAACCCTCAACAGAAGGGCTGTTAACAGGGTCTTTTCCCACTGCTCGGCCCCCCAACTGGCCGATACGCGGCAAAGGAGAAAAAGAAGAACAAAAGTTAGACGTCAGAGTCAAATAAAGCAGTGAATAGGCTAGACACAATATTATGCATACAAAGAGAGGAAATGGAAATTGCCGAGAGGGTCATATATCCAAGCTCATTATATATTTATTTGTTTCTTCCTTCATGATGCATTTAAGGTAGGAGATTCTTTATACTATTAAAAATAAGGTGTACGTCTGACTTGTTTAGCCAGCAGTGGCGGCTGGTGAAAAATATTTTTGGTGGGGCTGATATAGCCTAGTGTATGTCTCCAACTAATCCAGAATAAGAATTCAAATAAACAATTGGAAATGAAATACAATTTAACAGTAATGATTTAATTTACAATATAATAACAGTAACAGTGATGATTTTGGTCACTGTGACGGGGTTCTTTGGCCTCCAAGAATCCAGGCTCATTGGGGTTACTGGTGTTGGTGATTTATTGTGCTCAAAAACTTAAAACAGCCTCAGCCTCCCTCCAGTTAACAGAAATGGCCGCTCTTCTTCCCACAGCCCTCATTAAATAGTTTAAGCCCCTCCCCTCAGGCTCTCTTATTTCTGATTTCTTCTCATTAATCAGTTTTGTCCATATATTACCTCCACAAACAATTGATATACAAAAACAAATAATTTTTACAACTTAATTCCTTTACACAGATTCATTGACTTATTCAATTACACCAAACTGGGTTTGAACCCAGCAAAGACGCAGCCAGACTGAAGATGACAAGTCCCCGTAGCATACACACATACACACACACACACACACACACGGCTAACCCCACTGAAATGTTAAGTGTTCACCCTCAATACGCCAGCAGGTAACCAGGAACAGCTTGTGTGTTTTAAGTTAATGGAGCTACTGGTCTCAGCGTGAGTGTATTGGTCCTCACAAACACAGTATAACAGGAATGTGTGTGTGGCGCGCAAAGTTAGAGAGGTTGTTTTAAGCGACGAGGTGGATTCGTCACAGTCACAATAACCATGACATGAAATTTTCATATCCTACAACAGGGATGTTCTTCTGGCAAACGGGTAGATAAATAAGGATCTCACAGAATTTGGTGGAAGCTGCATCTCGCTCGTTACGTTCGCCATCGTCACTCTAATTGTCTGCACCTGCGCATTGGGTGCAGAAGCCTGTTAAAGGGCAGTATTTTCAGAGCCCCAAGACCATAAAGTTTTGAGACGCTGATTGGCCATTAAATTATTAAATTCACCTAGCAATAGTACATGATTGGCAGATTCTCTGTAAATGTGGCGCAGTCTGATCAGAGCCCCAAGACAGAGACGGTAGGAGTCTGTCTGTGGAAATCCACAAATGAATGACAGTAGATAGAGAAATGTAATTTATATAATTTGTTTTGCTTATAGGTACACACTCTAGAGAGTAAAACTGACATTTATGAGTTAATTTCTAAAAATATATTTTACGTTTCTCTCTTCTTATCAGGGAGGGCGGTGCCCCAGCGCCCCCTATGGGCCGGCCGCCACTGTTAGCCAGTAGGCCCATTTAGCCAATTGGATAAGCCCCAACCACCTTTAAACCACAATTAAACCTCAATAGCCATCCCTAAGAGGAGGTTTATTCACCTTTTCGTTTTTTCAACCTGAATTTCACATTGTTTATTACATGCGTAGGAGAAACATCAGTCTTAATCAGCCAGTAGATAGTAAATTGTAGAAGTTATTGTAATGATCTTAACACCATTTTAGATCCATAGACGGATAGATGGATGTAGCTGGGTGGAATTCACCCAAACATATACCACATACCTAAACCCTTCCATTACTGAGGCACATAATAAAATTATGACAAGCCTGGATTAAACATTGTTGGTTAATGTCAGTCACACATGGAACCGCTACGAAAATGTTAGAAAAATTACTGACATTCCGTGATAACAATGTTAATGCTGATAAGTATAGCCACCATCCCTATCTACAAGGAAGACAGAGTTTAGAGAAATGCTAGTTTTTAGATCAAGCGGGTTTTAAATAAGGGATGGAGAAGCCAGGCAAAGACACCAAAAATGCTAAATTTCCAAATCAAGGGACAGGACCTATTCATCATCATGACATACTTAAAATACATTTCTCTTCTTAGTCACAAGTACAGAAGCTTATACACAAAAATGACAAGAATTCAGGAGATAACAGTAGTGGTGATAAAAATGGCCTGTTCTACAGGAGTCTTTCCAAAGACAGCTGTTACAGTAGGTGTAATTCCGGTGCAGATGGAACTGCCCTGAGCTCTAGTTACAGCCTGATATGTGACGGCTTACTGAGGGAAATTCTTGCAGAGATGTGAAGAGCTCTGACTAGAGATTAAGGAGTTTCTCCATGTGATAAAAATGCGCAGTATACCAGCAACTTAATGATAATCATTGACTGTTAGACTGCATTTTAACCACTTCTTCCAACATGTTGAATGAGCTTTATTTAAAGTTAAAATATAACAAATTTCAAGACTGCTTTCCTAAAGTCATTTGAACCTTTTTTCTGTGCTACCTATTTATAGATATAATGTGGTTGATCCTTTCATCAGGACAGGGCTTCCTGTTGTTCAACAATATTTGGCTATACTTATTCGTAAAAATAAGTATTTTTTTCCCAAAGCGAGATTACTTTGTCTTAAAACACTCTAAATAATGGAGACCTGTGGAGGATTCTAACTGACATTTTAACCAGAGCTTACTCTCTTCTAATGATCAAACTAAGCTAGGAAGCATAAATTAATAATCTAACATGGCTATGAGGGCTCATGCAGTCGACCATTCATCCTCTGTATATAATAAAGGAAATGCATTTTCAATTTTAATAGATGTTTCTTTTCTATACATATTCAACAAACATTTTCTAAGAGGGAACTCAGTTAAAGTATGAAAGGGTATCAGATCAAAAACAAACCCATTTATCTGCCACATTAAAGAGCAGAGTTTGTCTAAACCCTCTGAAACCTGTAGAAGTTCCCTGCAATCTATTAACAATCACACATTAAAATCACTATCTTCCTGGAGTCAGGTGCACTGCAGATTCTTTTTTTTTCTTTTGCTACAGACATTTAACAATTTTCCAACTTAATCTGATTGATACAGACAGCGAATGGGATATTTGGGCAACAGGCACTGCAAAACACAGGCATTATCTACTACCTGATCTAGGCCTACAGAATGGGATAAAAGCTTAAGCTGATTTTAATATTTGGCAGAAAGAACACTGTTACTAATCAACAATCAAAAAGAAGAAAACATGACTGATGATCTCTTTTCAAATGCCTTAAATTAAGTACCATCCACAAATACTTCAGAGACATTACAGGGATTAGACCTGAACCTCTGAAGTAAGATGAAATGCACTCAATTAAACACATCTTAAGAAGGAATGGATTCAATAGTTCTTGTGGCTGTAAATATCTCTGCATAAGTTCATTCACCTCATTTTTCCTGCTCAAGTTTCATGATTGCATTGCTGATCTTTGCTCTCAAAATTTAAGATTTAAGGGAATTTAATGTGACAGACAAACACAAACGTGTGTATTTTTAAAATGGGAAGAAAGGGCTGGAGTTATTTTCTCTTTTTTATTTCATTTTTTGCACAAAAGAAATCCAAAAAGCATTAAATAGATTCATATTCATCACCCCTTACCATGGTCCAGCATAAAGTTTTAAATCCAGTATTAAATCCAGTACAACCAATTACCTTCGGAGGTCGATGAATTAGTAAAACAACCCCTGAATCTAATTCAATCCCACATCTTCATGTGCTTAATGACCGAGCCATAGGCCATAACTAAATCCAATTGAGAATCTGTTAAAAGAATATAGAATCTGTGTTCCCAGATTCATTACATCATATTTGACAGCAAAGATTTTAGTGGGTAGATGTGCAGAGCTGTTGCAGATAAAGACTAGCATCTGTAAGTGCAGCTAATAAAATAATGATTTTGGGCACTGACCACATATGACGGAAGACTTTTTATAAAGTAATCTGTAAATGAAAAAAAAAATCCATTCTATATATTATTTACCTTTTACAATCACATTGCATTGTAACTTAAAACCCTTAAAGAATAGTTAAAAATAGCTGACACCCTGTTAAATGTAATTTAACAGGGTGTCGAGTGAGCATAGCTTTGTAAAGGCAACCTGGCTTAAAATCTGGTTACTTTTATTGAAATTGAATGGAATCACTTTGTAAGGGATTTCGAGTTTAACCACACACCCAGTTAAAAAACCAAAACATAAGAAAAAAACAAAACAACCTTTTTTTAAAAGGTGGCAGGAGAAAATCCACTAACCCAGTACTGGGACCTCTACTTACAGCCTTCTTCTCTGGAGTTCCAGTCGGAGACGTTGCAGAAAGACGCTTCTCTCTGTTTACCAGCTTGCTGTTGGGCTCCCTCAAGGCCCTCTTCAGCTCGTTAATGCTGGCCTGGTGCTTCAGCAAGACATCCGGAGATTTCTCAAGAAACTGGAGGAGAGCAGAGGACACAGAAGGAGGCGTTGGCAGTAGATCGGGATGTCTTTTTTTATAACAGTAGAGCTAACGTTTGCATGAAGAGGCTGGGAGAAATGCTTAGCATGCTGGAATGTATGTCAAAAGATTGGCTGGTACTTGGGCTGAGAGCAGAATACGCTGCTGTTTTTAAACTAAATTGTGCTCATCTCTTTTAATGCCACTGAAGCTGAAACAGAACCAGAAACAATTATGGTTACAGCTAGTTTTAGAGATACAAACGAGCACTTTAATCAAGCTCTCGCTCCAAAGTTCATGAATGATAAAATGAATATGAGACATCCATTCATTTGTTTGCTGATTAGAATTCGGCATCTTATGAGGTTTTTTGTTTGGATTGTTTGTTTTTTTCTGGAAAAATGCCAGAGCATGATGCATTCATGTAGTGCCAAAATTTTATACTTCCTGGAGTCCTGAAATGTTTCATGGTTCCGAGTGAAATGCTGCTTAACCACAGTTTTTCTGTTCCATAATAATTTTAAGTTATTCGCAGAGCAGTTCAGACATTTCAAATTGTGTCCTTGAACAATACTTAAGCTTTCATCCTTTCATCGGAGTGACACATTCTACAGCTGGGCTGAGACATTTGATTTGCAGAACTGAGTACCATTAAATCTGATCATTCCATTTAACTGGAATTTTAAAAAGGGCTGGTACACTATTGGTGTTAAAGCAAAAATATAATACATCCTATTGTACTGTAGGTGTTGATGCTATAAATTATCAGCAGGTGAAATCCCCTACAGGCTTAAGAAATAGAATCAAAAGTAGCATCACACAGCAAAGCGTGCTAGAGCTGAGTTCTGGAACCTGTACCTCCTTTTTGTGCCGAGGAGTGGTCTCCTGGTCCAACTGAGAGAGCTGAGTTGGGGCAGGAGAACGGGCGTGCAAGAGAAGGTTCAGAAATGAAGAGTGCAAGGTCAGAAGGTGTAAGGACAAGGTGCCGAAACAAGATGGATGGCAGATGCAGTAAGACGACAGGCATAGATATCACAGTGAGGTAGATTAAGGAATTTGAGACAAAAAAAGATGGAGATAACCCAAAAAAACACCTCAGATGGACACATTAAAATAAATAACACTCATTTTAATAAAGAATACACCAAGACAGCCTCCAAACCAAAAGTATTACAAGTGTTTAACCAAATTGGAGTTTTCTCAGCTCTGACTAAAAAGCTCCCTCCCTCTTTCGTTGTAACTGCCCAAATATCAGTTTATTAGTGTTCAGTCAGTGGAACGTGACTGCTACCAATTCCAATACAACCAATAAAAATAACACAACGTTCTCCTGTTACTTCCCAGTTCTAATCACTTGCAGTTATTTCAGGTTTTGACTTTATCTTCTCTCTTCTTTATTTTCTCTTCATAGATGTTTTAACTAGCCTGCCAGAGGTAATAACACTTAGCCGCGCGTTATTTAACTAAGCACAGCTTTTTCATTGATGGTTGTCCGGAAAGCCCAACTTCCAGACGCAACAACCCATAGATGAGCCTTTAAGGGGAAAGAATAGTTTGAAAGACTTAGTGATGGATGACTGGAAACATTTTTCCGACCAACATAGAGACGTCAAATACCTCCTGTTTACTGTTGGCTGGTGAGCCAGCCTCCTCCTTATTGCCAGCAAGGGTTGAAAAACAGACAGAGAGTGTTAGAGACAGAAGGCCAGCCTCCAGTTTGCCATTCTTAGTATATGTAGTATGCTTTTATGCAATGTAGGCATAAAAGCAGTGTAAACAGTGGTGAAAGAAGAAGCTTTAGCAAAGATTAAATCCTCAAAAGCCTTTACAGTGTCATGCCACTGTGGGATACACCTTAACTGGACTAAGGAGCTTATGATTTTGGACCTAATTACTTCATTATGTCAGCAGATGCTGCCAGCTCTGCACATTAAAAAGAAAAAAAATTTCCTTACCTTGATTTCTTTCTTCCTGCTTGGGGTGACATTGCCATCATGGTCTTTATGCTCCTCATGACTCAGATCTTGGTCCTTGTCTTCCTCGTCCTGCTCCAGGCTGGGCTCCAGCTCAGTCTCCTGCTCTTCCACGGACGGGCTGTGTAGTCGAGGGTGTTCGCTGGCGCTGCGGCGGGATAGCCCATCGTGGTTCTCACACATGGACGATACCGGCCGTGAGAACTCTGCTGGTTTGGAAAAGTTTAGTTTTCATAAGGGAGTAGCCAGAGGAGCATAAAACGTCTTAAAATAACCTACGCATTTACTGGCACATCCTACTGTTTTTTTTTTTTTTTATTGGTTTCAGTCACACAAAGCTACACAGCAATTTCCAGCCACAATGAATCAATTTAGTTGGATTTAGAAACCGCAGTGCCTTGCAAAACTATTCCAGCTACCTAAATAGTTTCACATTTCGTCACATTAGAATCACTAACATAAATATGTTTTATCAGGATTATATATGCCTAAACAATATCCAGCATCTTTTTAATTTTCAGTTTGAGTGCAAATAAAACAAAGATTAGGTTTTTGTTACACTTCAATATTTGGATGTTTTGAAGCTTTAACAAAAAATGCTGAACAAATTGAGCTAGTATCTAATTTAGGATTTGGATTTTATCATCATATGACTTATAGAGAATATGTTCAGGAAATAAAAAAAAAAATATGTGAAACTTTTTGGGGATTTTATTCCAGAACACTTCCAGTCTCACTTTCCTTGTAATGTTGATAAGAACTCAGTTAACACAACTTTTTTATCACTAAGTCACTGAGATTCATTCATAACTCAGGCCCCTTACTCATCACTGTACACACTATGCTAAAATAAAGCAGTTGGATGTGACTGTGTGCCAATCATTTCAGTCATTGATATTTCCTTATATATAAAATACATTTAAATATCTCACATCATACCTGCAACAATAATGAATGCCACAATATACATGGCGCTAAAGCTTGTTGTTGTAACTGAACTGTGTAAGAAACTATTGTAGTTTTCATGTCCTACTATGGCCAATGTCCTTAATGTAATTTGTATTTCTTTGTATTGCTTTTTGTAAAGTGACTGTGCTGCTGCCTTCAGCAAAGTTGTATAGTAACATATCCAATGCCTTCTTCCCCATGTTAGCTGTGTCCTCTCTCTGGGGTTTAAAAGAGATTTCTTTTTTCTCAATGGCATTAACCTGATTACATGATGCACAAACAATGCTTGCTTTACTAAACTACTACCAGAGTGATGGAGCATGAATATGTAATCTGCACATATTAATAGAAAATTGGATGGAGCATCTGTCAGCGTAATTTTATTAGATCAAATTTCTTATTGAATTTGGACTTTGACTGACTGAACTGTTCCAAAACTTTAATATGCAATGATTTAAACCACTCCGTTGTGGTTTTTGTTCAGCCAAACCTCCACCAATATTTTTGCTGCAGCCTCTAATCAGCATCTTGGACTTTAAATGTTGTCTTTGCTTGATTAAAACTGATTAAACTTAAACTGACTTTAAGGGCTATTTCAGAAGGCGTGTGTAAAATAACAGGTTATGACTCTTATTTTGAGTGGGGAGTGGCAGCCTAGTGGTTAGGGCATAGGGCTTTCAACCCTGAGATTGTGAGTTAGGTCCCCCACTCCCACAGACTGCCACTCTGGGTCCCTGAGCAAGACCCTTAACCTCACCCTGCTCCCCGGGCGCCTCACAATGGCAGCTCACTGCTCCCCAAGGGGATGGGTTAAATGCAGAGAAGTAATTTCCCTCTGGGATTATTAGAGTATATCAAAAAAAAATAAAAAAATTTTTTGAAAACAAAGCCACACTGTAAAAACACATGATTTGAGCTATGATAAAAAAAATTAAGGTAAGCATCAGAATAGCTCAAGCAGTTTGTTTAAAAAATCACAAATTAAAGAGTTTTAATAGGTCAATGCAAGGCTTTAACAGCTGTTTATTTTCCACTGAATCCATAAACCAGATTTAACGCTCAGTTCCATAACCTTTTGGTCCTTAATATCACAGGTCATGTTTTTTTATAAACACCTGTTAAAAATTGAGACAAATATGGTTATATTAACTTTAAACTGTTATCTGATATGTTCATACAGTAATGATGCTGTGGTGTTATCCCAGGTTGAAAAGGCAGACTGGTTTCTTTGTAGATGCAGTTAAGAGCCTGCTTCAGCATCAGACCAATTGAAGCACTGGAGCATCTTTCATGGATAACATCTCTCAGTGAAAGAAAAGCATACCACAACAAGATATGTTGATATAAGATATGAGGTGTAGCATTTTCCTGCCACTATTTCTTTGCTTTTAATTATCTATTTAGGTCATAAAGCTAGATCCACCTTCTTCCATGTGCTTTTTCCGCCCCCTATCAGAGTTTGCGGCAAACTTCCCTTGTGGCCCTGCTTCAACAAAGGCTCTCTTATTGACACTCAGGGAATGCACCACTAATAGTACCACTGTTAACAGTTCCTCTTCAACTGAGGATCTCCTCAGCTCATCTAGGGTTACCATGGAACTCTCGGCTGCTCCTCTGATATTCTTATGGGGTATCAAAGTAAAATCGACTGAGAACAAAGGTAAAAAGTCTTTTAAGGTGGCACAATGCGGAAATATATTACTCACCTCCATCCAAGCTCCTGGACAGCAGGTACCTTCTGCTGGCTGACCGCTCAAAGTGAGGAGCGGGACGATCAATGAGGGCACTGGCCTGTCTGGTTTGAGCCTGCGTCCTTCCACTGTACCGAAACTTCGAACCCATCACCAAAAAGCCCTTAGGAGGAGGCTCAGGAGATACCAAGCTAGGGAAAAAAAAGAAACAAAAGCTGTCAGATGTATCTATGCTAAAAAAGGGAGACAGCTTTGAAACTAAAAAAATATCTTATTTTAGAAAGAAGGATTTCAAGCCCAACACTCAGTTTCTTTCCTGTATGTCATAGGACTGTTGTGAAGAAGTTCATTATATTTGTCACTCATTTCAGAAAATCATAAATAGATTTATAACACATAGAGTGATGTATTTCAAGTCTTTTTTTTTTATATATAATTCTGATCATCCCTTACAGATAATAAAAACCCGTTAGTCACTGTCAATATTTCAGAAAAGTTGAATAATCATAACTAATTATGTGAAACCCTTATCAGCTAATTAGCCTAATCTGTTAACTGGTCATGTAAAAATCCCCCAAAGATTGCAAATTTGAAAGCATCACATGTAACCTGCGGACCGGTCCAGACACTAACAGGTTAAAACAGCTGTAAAGGTTCCCCGAGGCTCTGGGTGGTCTCTAAGTATAGTTAGCTAAACACTGTGGGGAACACAGCTGCCTGGATAGATGTTAAAAGGAGTCATTGACAATCTCTACAAGTATGAGAACCCCTTGAAAGGTCATTGCTAAAGAAGCTAGTTGTTCAGTCTGAGTACTCCAACCATGTTAATAGAAAGGTGACAGAAGGCAAAGAGTGCTATAAGAAAAGTTGAACTGGAAACATACGTATCTGCAGCCTTCATGTGGTTATTAAGCAGAATCCATTTGAAAATTTGGAGGAGTGAATGAACTGAGGCTGGTGTCAGCGTATTAAGAGTGACTACTCACAGAGAAATCCCAAATAGGGGCTACAAATGTTAAATTCCTCATGTCGAACCCCATCTCAGCCCAAGACAAGATCAGAAGCATCTTACCTGGGCTAAAGAGAAAAAGAGTAAAACTGTTGCTTAATGCCCATTATTTCAGGTGAAAGTTAATTCTTATTTCTTTTAGAAATCAAGGTTTTAGATTCTAGAGAAAGAGTGGAGATGCATATATTGCATGCTGCCTAAATGCCTGTGAAATACTGTCCCATGGATGCTGCCTAAAGGGATGATTCGGAGTACCATGTCATCTGGCTTAGTTGGTCCACCACGTGCCATCTACAGTAACAAGAAGAGCATTCCAGCTCTTTTTTTTGGCTTGCTGACAAGCCGTACGGAGATAAGGGTTTTAGTTTCCAGCAGGATGTGGTATTGACCCAGACTGCTAGTAACCATGGTGTTACTGTGATTGACTGGCCAGCAAACTAGCCTCTAGGTTGTTCGCTTCTTTAGCTTAAGCTTCTTTAGTCTGAGAAATGATCTGCCTTATAGTATAGTGGATAAACCAGTAAATAGTGACAGCTGAAACTGCATGCAAACAAGGATCAACGGCCCAACGACCAACTGCTAGTGCTCTGATGATTGCTTGTTGTTTCTGGGGGACAAAGCCATGCTTGCAATAACAGCTTTGTAAAAGGGGGACAGAACTCGACCTTTGTTTGCAGAGGGATGGACTCTCTTCACAAATATGGTTTCCTTTACTCCTCTATCAAAACAGCAACGAGTGCAAACTACTGAATAATGACCTGATGATGTTGCTCGTTTGTGATGGGTCATCATTTTGGCCAGGGGTAGCTTTGTGTCCCCGGTGTATAACTGGTCACAGTCCCACTTTGACACTTGACAGCATACATGTTACTCTTTTTCTTCCAGGGACAGAATATTTGGGGTGAACTAGTCTTTGCTGTAATGTGCTTTGGGGGATTGAATGCCACTAGGATGTCATGTTTAAAAAGTAGACATCTCAGTTTCTCTGAAACACCCCCAACATACAGAAGGACAACTGGTCTGGTTCTGGAATTTGGTTCTTTCTTTTTACCTGATGGCTGACTGGTATTCTGTTTGGGTTTCTTGTCTGCTTTGAGGAAAGTCCAGTTAGGGTTACTCTAGGGCCTGCTTTTGTGTAATCTTCTCTCTGGCTCTTGCTTTAGTAGCAACATTGTCTTTTCTGCGATACAGCGTCCAGATGACTCCCAACCTGTGCTCCAGTGGGTGATGGGAGTCAGACTGCAAATACTGGTCTGTATGAGGCAGTTTGCTGTAAACAAACCCTTTAGGGACTACACTACAAATTAGAGAATGCAATAAATCAATCCTAAGGTTTTCACAATCGACTATTTAAATTCAACAATTTAAATGATGCTGTCAGACTGACATCAGGCATATTAAATGACACAGAATGGCTCTTCTTTAGAGGATGGTGGGCTGCTTATGTGGTCAGTTTCAGGGCATGTTTTAAACCTGGATGGATGGGGTATGGCTAGGAAAGAATCAAAATGTATTTAATGCTTTTTTCACATTACCAGTAAACCCTTTGGGATGTGTAGCCAGGATTCCTGAATGCAGTTTTTCTTTTTTTTGACTATGGTTTCATTTCTGATAGTGTGCCTGATGAATCAGAATTACTGTTTCTACCCTAATGTGACCCTGTCTTCCTGAAGAACTGCATATGATGGAGCTGTCACTGCTACTTAGAGCAATTTAAAAATGAATTCCTTCAAACTTTTAAGCTACTTTATAAAGGATTTCTTCAGAGTTCATCCGCACATCAAAAGCAAAGCTAATGCCAAGACAGCATCCCGGGTTTGGTTGTCCCACATTTATCCCCTAGAAAACTATTTAAACCCCTGGTATTTCATATGACAGACGAACATGAATTAGTGAAAAGAATAGGTAGAAAAGGTTTAAACATTTTTAAAATGAGGTGTAAAGTTATAGAGTGTGAAATAATTGTACTTTGTAAAATGTTAAAAGCAACATTCAAATTCTAAACTGGATTTACTGTAAGTCTGAACTCCTGCTGGGCTATCATAAAACCTTTAAAAGCTTTGTTTGGCGGTTTTTCTGCTGAAAGATAAACCTTTGATCTTCTAACATGTTTTATTTTTCTAGCACTTCATGTCATCGATCTTCATGCCTGCTGAAGCGAAGAAACCCCCACAGCATAAAGCTGCCTTGTACTGCAGGGATGGGGCCTTTTGTGTGATGTTCAGTGTCAGTTTTCCACAAAGCTAAACTTTTAATGTGACTTCTTATAGCGTCTTTTTCAATAAGTGCTCTTCTCTTGTATATGAAAACAGTTATCCTGTCCAAATATTCTTCTGCATCTCCTTCAAAGATTGAATCTAAATAAATCACAATGAGGTAAACTTGTTCTGTTATATATGTATTTCCTCTTAGGGCAACCATTAGTAGCAGATTTTTAAGGGGGATAGGAATAGGGAAGATTAAAAACAAATGCACACCACACTTTGTAAAAAGGAAAATATAAAAACCTTACATGTATTTTCCTTTTCCCCAACCTTGGTGCTAGTCTATCTTGTCACATTGTGGATAAATTCGGGTTTTGTCGATATAACTCGACAAAATGTAAAAATGTTTAAGGGGTATGAATATTTTGTCTCTGACTGCAGAAACATCGAATCACTCAAAGGCTGAATCTGAAAATGTTCAAGTCATCTGTTTCTTACCGGAAGAAGGTGTGGTGCTCAATGCAGACTTTCCACAATCTCTTGGCAGCTCGGTGATTGGGAAGCTTAAAACCAATTGTACTTTCAAACTGCTCATACTGGAAGGGAGAGAGAAAGACACAAGAATAGAGAGAGAGAAACAAAGAAGAGGTGGGTATTGGGTAACAAAAGCAAATACAGAAATAGTATTGACAACTGCAAAGACAGGGTGAAAAAAGTTTATAATACCCAGGAAAAAAAAATATTCCATGTCTATATTTACACTCCTCCTCCTTGTTAATCTGTGGCTGCAGCTGCAGCAGCTCTGTTAAAGGGCTTCTTTATTTGGCGCCATCACAGGCTCACTGTGCAGCCCTTTCACTTGACTGGGTCTCACCCAGACTGCCTAATACACTGAGGCTCAGCAAGGAGGTTAAGATTCAGCGCCTTTAAGCACACTGAGCAGGGCCAAGACATAGTCTCTGACCATGAAGAGAAGCACAGCTGAAGGATTTTGTGGTCAGTTTCCAGCATGACTGAACACACATTCGTGTCAGTGAAGGCCTCTATAACGCAAGGGAAGAGTCTCTTAAGAGGCATCATAAAATGCCAGGTTTGTGGTGTAAAAAAAAAAAGAAAATACATTTTGCTGAATTTAATTAAAAACCCAACCATGAAATCTGATCTGATTCATAGAGAATTTGATTAACCTGAAAAAAGTGAAGCTATTCTAGTAGATTTCTGCTGACTTTTCCGCCATTTCATCCTGGAGCTAAAGCCGAAGTTTGCAAATAGATATTAAAGAATCAAAATGATCTTATTAGTGAAGGTATAAAGCAGGGAGAAATGAGAAAAAAATCCCCATGGAACCATAAAAACTTTCATCAATGACTGAAGAAGATAACTTAAGAAGACATTAACACCCAACCATCAGTGATAGATTATTCTTCAGCGTTTCTAATAGTGTTCTGATTGCCTGATCCTGATCAGTTTTTATATTTGGACTTTTGAGCTTGCCTGCCCCCATCTGATCTGTTGCATGAGCCGTCTTTGGATTCTGTTGGATTCTACTGTGGACTGAACCTGGATCTGCCTCTTGATTTGGCCCTCTGGATTATTCTGCCTTCCTTCGACTGTTTGCATCTTATCTCCTGCCAGTTCTGCAGGCTTCAAGGCTACAGCGTCTGAAACTCTGGCAGCGTCTGCTGCGTCTTGTCATCCTCGCTCTCTGGGCACGGACTGAACTGTAAAACCAGGTTAGTGTCTCACACGTTCATAATCATCCTCCATTAGATTATCGTCGTCACTAACCTGAGTTACTCTGCTATAGAAGTTCCTGCCTTAGATGCCAGTTTATTTAATAAACGTTTTTGAAGTTACCCCACTGTCTATCTTGCCGGATTACTGGGTCCCTTTGTTCTGAGTCATTACAGCAGCAATAATCTCCTATATTCTATAAATGTCCCACCTAAAGCGTAGGTTTTGAAGATGGAAAGAAACCTTTTTTTGCCAAATAATTCCCAACATCGTCAGGAAACAGGTGTAATTGTGCTGAAACTGAACTGGAAATTTTAATGTAAAATAACTGAATAGCAATACATCCTTGCAGCAACAGTACACCATTTCATAGTAACACAACCATACTGCCTTTATGGTTTCTACTCCTAAAATTGAAATCGGCTGTAAAACAACATGTCATTTTAACAAGTGAGTGTAACATCAAAGCTACTGTAACAGTAAAGTCATGTTTTTCCCACACTGATGCAAGTTAAGGCACTGTTATAAAACAAATGTTTCAATTATATCCCCATATTGCTGAGCAAATCTGGCTAAAGTATCGGGCTCCAACAGTAAACTGTTGGCCTATACTAACAAATAGCTTACATTCAAAGACAAAAAACATAGTTCTGAGATGTTAAGACCCCCTTTAAAATAAACACTGTCAGTCGGATATTAATACTAACACACTGCAGACAAGAATGGCATTTTTATTTAGGGGTTCAAATGAGTGATCTGAACTGCATTTTTATCAGAGCAGAATGATTATAGCAAAAAATGTAAAAATACTTTAGCAAATATTTAAAACAAGAATAGGGTGCTGAAGACTTAATTTACTGAGGATTTTAATGTCTATGCACAGCCAGATTTCTACGTACCAACCTAAATATATAGTTTCACCCAGTAATAGCACCCAGTAATAGCTGTACCTTAGATATTTACACCTTGACCAACCAAAAAGCAACAATATTTGCTAAATTGCTTTTAAAAATCGAATGTTTAAACCCGTATGTGTGGCAGGGATCATTTCCTGTTGGAACACTCTCTGTTTTCAATATTAAATCAATCATTAACTGGGCTGTTGATCTTAAACAAGCTAGAAGAAACAGAAAGAAGGCCTTTAATTTCATCCCTCTGTAAATTATGCTTCTTGTCCCAATCATATTCTTTAAACTTAAGAACATTGAGACAATTGTCAAACATAGGAATGACTGCATCATGAAGTGGGGCTGTTTGTTTCCCAGTAATCCTGGTGGTAGAGCTCCAACCTGGTAAAAGACTGTTATCTAAACAATGTATATTTATACCTACCCTGAATGTATAATTATAACCCTTTTTGGAGAAGATTAAAACCCACAGAAAAAAAAGAGTTAAGAGATTATTCCTTTTTTAATTTCAAAGTCTGATAGAAACTTCATTAACGCTGCATTTCAGGTTCCTTTTGTGTTTTCTGGATTTTTTAATGCTTCTGTGGTCTCTGCTTGGACAGCTCTCTTGTTAGCATGATTACTAACTCTTCATATATTGCATACCTCCCCAGGTCTTATTTTAATGTAGAAGTTGCTCCTCTTGTATGAAATCTTCAGAATCTTTGGCCAAGCGAAGCGGTTGATTCTCAGTCTGTCCCTGTAAATCAGCAGGCCGTTGGCACACACCCCAAGCATGATCTCAATCCCCTCTGAATCCTGCAGCAGATACAGGCGAAAGTCATTCACAAGTATTGATTAATTGTATCCTTTATGTAAAAGAAATCTAAAGAATCTAGAAAGCTGCAAACTTTAGCATGATGAAGGTCCACCCCATACATGGACAGCTTCTTCGCGTTCTCCAAAAAGTTCATTTCAGCCTCTGCAGGTGTCATTCCCCTACGTGCAGAAGAACAATAATATATGCATTAAAACATCTAACAGCATCAACATATTTCTTCACTAATAAAACCTGAATCATGCAGACAGTGGGTGGAATAATCTTTAAGAAAATGTTTGATGTATTCACTTCCTAGTTTCCAAATCATACCATGGAGACTGTCTAGTGACTAAGAAAAAGCTTTCATTCAAGCTGTGAGCATCTCAAGGCATAAAATATGGTAATGCCATTGCATCAATCAGAATCCATATGCATGATTAAATGTTGCAGTACAAGAGATAAATGCATCAGCAGATCAGGCTGAGACATTTGGAGAATGATAAAATTATTATTAAAGCAACAGTGAATCCTGTCATTACTTGTAAGTTCGGTGGAGGTCCATCACCCTCTCTTCTAAATCACGAGTCTGATTGGGAGCAAAGCGGAAGTCGCTGACGTAATCAGAGCCATGGTCATCCAGGTCGTAGTCTCCCAGCTCGGCCTGAATGGCGTAGGAGCCCAGGAGGGCGTGGGTGACAAACGAGCATGGCAGGCGACCTGACAGGATATCATCCCTCAGCTGCAGACACAGGTAGTACCTGTGAGAGAAGAAATAAAAATGAGGGAAAGGTTTGGGAAGGCCTTCAGTCAAACCAGCCTGAGTCACACAGGCTCCAACAAGAATTCAGTCTGGTTAATCCGAGGCAGTTAGAGGCATTCCAGGGCTGATCAATGGAAAAAGAGAGAGGGATTACAGAAGATTTGTAATCTGAGCAAATATGGCAGCAGAATTGTTACAACACCTTTATGTAAACACATAATAGTAACCTAAATGAGGAACTATCATCTGCAGAAAAACATGTGTTAGCTCTTTGATCTTGTTCTTTGATTGCCTCTGACGGCACACGCTCAGGTGTTTCAGCGGTTATTTTAGGGAAGGCGTGCCAGTGTGTGTGTGTGTGTGTGTGTGCTACCTGGTAATGTCCTCTGTGAGCTGGGAGGGGTCTGGGGGATAGAACTTTACAGCGAAAGCAAAGTGCCACGGAGAGTCTGTGGGAGGAGACGAGGGGAGAACTATAGATAAGAAAAAACAGCCGACAGTACTGAGGAAGAAGTATTTGCACCCTTCTAGGTTTGCTCAAGGTTGGTTTTGCATTTCTGTCCCACTTGTATAATCTTTAATTATAAACTCATTTGAATTACGTTCCAAACATAACCCAAGTTAACAAAAAGGCAGTTTAGAATATTGTACTTATTGAGAGAAATTGAACTATTTTTAATGTATTTGAAAACAGAAAATATTGTGACTGACCTTAAAAGCAACATTTGTAAAATCAAATCATTTGTCTTTTATACAATTCTTCTAAACATAATTGTTTTTCTTCAGTCACAAAGGAGTTTTGTTCTTGCTTTAAGCGACTGTTTACATTAACAGCACATCATCAGAGGAATTTTAGTCCTGACTTTGATTGGGCCACTTCATTTAGTTGTTTTATGAGCCTTTCAAAGGTAACTTGCAGAATAACTGAGGTTTACTTGGGCCTGAAGAATGGATATTCTTCTGCAGGATTTTTGTTAGATAGTTGAATTAATGGGTTTATCATTTATAAGCATCCTGGATCCATTTGTGGGTTTTGGTCAGCGGTGATTTTCACTTGAACATCTTACCTGATGTTTTCTGATTTCTTTTCTGCCAGGTATTTTTGTTAGATCATGATCTTTGACATAAACTGAGGAAGATGAATATGAGGTGCCCCCAGGGACATAAATCAGAATTAACTTGCATATACACATATTAAATTACACTCTTCCATATAATATACTGAAAACCTCACACAAACACTAGTAAAAAGCTCTCACATAAACTAGTGAAAACATTGACCTCTTATATAATCTACTCAAAAGCTCTCATACAAAGTAGTGAGAACTGTTCATATAAACTGGTGAAAAGCTTTACCTTTCATACACACTACTAGAAAGCTTTCATATACACTATTAAAAAGCTCTCATACACACTACTAGAACGCTCTCATAAACACTATTAGAACGCTCTCATAAACACTATTAGAACGCTCTCATAAACACTATTAGAACGCTCTCATAAACACTATTAGAACGCTCTCATATACACTATTAGAACGCTCTCATAAACACTATTAGAACGCTCTCATAAACACTATTAGAACGCTCTCATAAACACTATTAGAACGCTCTCATATACACTATTAGAACGCTCTCATAAACACTATTAGAACGCTCTCATAAACACTATTAGAACGCTCTCATAAACACTATTAGAACGCTCTCATAAACACTATTAGAACGCTCTCATACACACTACTAGAACGCTCTCATAAACACTATTAGAACGCTCTCATAAACACTATTAGAACGCTCTCATAAACACTATTAGAACGCTCTCATATACACTATTAGAACGCTCTCATAAACACTATTAGAACGCTCTCATAAACACTATTAGAACGCTCTCATATACACTATTAGAACGCTCTCATAAACACTATTAGAACGCTCTCATATACACTATTAGAACGCTCTCATAAACACTATTAGAACGCTCTCATAAACACTATTAGAACGCTCTCATAAACACTATTAGAACGCTCTCATATACACTATTAGAACGCTCATATACACTATTAGAACGCTCTCATAAACACTATTAGAACGCTCTCATAAACACTATTAGAACGCTCTCATATACACTATTAGAACGCTCTCATATACACTATTAGAAAGCTCTCATAAACACTATTAGAACGCTCTCATATACACTATTAGAAAGCTCTCATATACACTACTAGAACGCTCTCATAAACACTATTAGAACGCTCTCATAAACACTATTAGAACGCTCTCATATACACTATTAGAACGCTCTCATAAACACTATTAGAACGCTCTCATATACACTATTAGAACGCTCATATACACTATTAGAACGCTCATATACACTATTAGAATGCTCTCATATACACTATTAGAACGCTCTCATAAACACTATTAGAACGCTCTCATATACACTATTAGAACGCTCTCATAAACACTATTAGAACGCTCTCATATACACTATTAGAACGCTCTCATATACACTATTAGAATGCTCTCATATACACTATTAGAACGCTCTCATATACACTATTAGAAAGCTCTCATAAACACTATTAGAACGCTCTCATATACACTATTAGAAAGCTCTCATAAACACTATTAGAACGCTCTCATATACACTATTAGAAAGCTCTCATAAACACTATTAGAAAGCTCTCATATACACTACTAGAGCGCTCTCATAAACACTATTAGAACGCTCTCATATACACTATTAGAACGCTCTCATACACGCTACTAGAAAGCTCTCATACACACTACTGAAAAGCTATTAGCGGATTTCAGTTGAAACGGAAGGCGTTTCAGTGAAACAGGAAGGACCGTCATTACACCGGAAGTTGTTTTAAACGGAGGTCATTCTGGCTAGCTCCGTACATTTTGTGCTATCTCCGGCCGAAATTGTATCAAATTAAATTATTGATTCATGCTCAGCTATCCGCTAAACAACTCACAGAAGCATGGGCATTACTCGACTTTATTTTTTATGTTTTTGCTTCAACAGAGATCCTTTTCCGGTGTTGTGCGAAATTCTGTTCCCATGTGAAAATCTGTTCCACCTGTGTCGGGAGCGCGCCGCGCGTTCCAGCCACATAAGCGGATCTGATCATTTCCCAGGCCTTTCGGATCATTTCTTGGTTAAATAAAAAGTCGTAAAATTATACAAGGTTGAGACATTTAGTTTAATCAGCCGCTGTTGTTTACAAAATTGTAAAATAAAAAAAATAAATGCGGTTTTCTTATGCTGTTTTGTGTTGTTATTTTAAACGCCAAGAGAATCAGTCTCTTTCCAAGTTTTTTCACTTCAGCCTGACAGAAATAAAAGTCAAGTCACCAAATACCAAATTTGTATTTATAATTTTTTATTACTGATATAAGATGATGGGAAGTGCCTGATAGCAGTTCCATAATATGGAAACAAATTAATTTAGCTGCAAATCTTAAACTGTGTTTATTCCTCTCTTCATCAACAACAAACCATCTGGATTCGGTGATATTTGAGCAATGTTTGCCTAAATTAAAGGAGGGGGACCATATATTTTAGCTTTCTAATAGTGTGTATGAAAGCTTTCCAGTAGTGTGTTTGAGAGCTTTCTAGTAGCGTGTATGAGAGCGTTCTAATAGTGTATATGAGAGCGTTCTAATAGTGTATATGAGAGCGTTCTAATAGTGTATATGAGAGCGTTCTAATAGTGTTTATGAGAGCGTTCTAATAGTGTTTATGAGAGCGTTCTAGTAGTGTATATGAGAGCTTTCTAATAGTGTATATGAGAGCGTTCTAATAGTGTTTATGAGAGCTTTTTAATAGTGTATATGAGAGCGTTCTAATAGTGTTTATGAGAGAGTTCTAATAGTGTTTATGAGAGCGTTCTAATAGTGTATATGAGAGCGTTCTAATAGTGTTTATGAGAGCGTTCTAATAGTGTTTATGAGAGCGTTCTAATAGTGTTTATGAGAGCGTTCTAATAGTGTATATGAGAGCGTTCTAATAGTGTTTATGAGAGCGTTCTAATAGTGTTTATGAGAGCGTTCTAATAGTGTTTATGAGAGCGTTCTAATAGTGTATATGAGAGCGTTCTAATAGTGTTTATGAGAGCGTTCTAATAGTGTATATGAGAGCTTTCTAATAGTGTATATGAAAGCTTTCTAGTAGTGTGTATGAAAGGTAAAGCTTTTCACCAGTTTATATGAACAGTTCTCACTACTTTGTATGAGAGCTTTTGAGTAGATTATATAAGAGGTCAATGTTTTCACTAGTTTATGTGAGAGCTTTTTACTAGTGTTTGTGTGAGGTTTTCAGTATATTATATGGAAGAGTGTAATTTAATATGTGTATATGCAAGTTAATTCTGATTTATGTCCCTGGGGGCACCTCATAGATGAAGCCTGCATTTCTCAAGGTGTTATGTTTTGAGTTGTTTGTGACCTCAGGGAGAATTCCGTTTGCTCCATAAGTGATTGTGGCTTTTCACAAAACTGTCTAACTTTGTTTTTCTTTTTGTGCCTCTCATTGATGTGTTCTGGAGTCAAAAAATGACTTACAGTGGCATTCCTATCCAGACTGATTAGTGGATCTTTTATTCTTAATTTTTTTTTATATGAGGTTTCAATGTGTTCATTTTTTCAGACAGATTTAAGCAAACTGCAATCGAACCCCCGAACAAAACTTTATCTAAATATTGTTTTGTCCCTAAATAAATTTTATTGTTCGAAAACTAATATTAAAATTTGATCATCTAAAATATCTAAACTATTTCTACCCTAAGGAACATTTGGCACAATAAGCTGTTACCAACATTTTCTCCCCAAGGATTACATGGTGCAACATTGATGAAAACTCTTGTCATGCAAAAGTAAAGTGTGGCCCTTTTTTTGCACATTCAATATTAATAAAAGGCTGATGGAAATTGTTGGACTGATTGTAAATGATACATTTTCAAAATACCAGAAAAAATGTGCTAAAGACCGTAATAAACAGCTTTTTAAAGAATTCTGAAATTAGACTAAATAGTTTAAAAATATTTTTATAATTATAATAGATTATAATTAACCCTTCTTTTACACTGCTCTGTTCTTTACAAGAAAAAAAATAGTATAAACAATTTTAAGGCTAAATCTACCAGGCCTTTGATTAATTTTAATCTTCATTTCAAGTGTGGCAAAAGAGCCGAGAAAATCTGAAAGCAAAAAAAAAACACTTTTTAACGAGCCCATTCTAAGTCTTTACCTGAGTCACATTTAAAAAGATAAAATATTCTGAGAAAAGACACTCACTGCGCATCTGCTTCTTAATCTCTTTAGATGGGTCCAACCAGTTCTGAAAGACAAAAGACATCGTTCAGCCAGGGCGGTGTGAAAACATGGCTAATACACACCCTGGTGTCACATTTGCTTCTAATAATTGCCAACTCTGCTCCTAATGAAAGTCTCTCCATATGGTGAACAGTAACCAAAGCCTCCACCCTGCTGAGCCGTTCAGACATGCAACAAGCAGACTCAGCCCACCATTGCTGTGCTCAAAGGCAGTTACCTATCTGATCTCAGAACATCTGATCATGCAGTTAACTGTGTCTCTAATGGAGTACTGCTGCAGGAAGCAGCTGATGTGTACCCACTTGTAACAGCAGCTGGATCAGTCAATGCGTGCTAAATTTGTTATCAAAAACAGATGCAGTAAATATTTAATCAAACTGACTCAGACTGACACATTTAAAAAAAACAATATTTGACTTAACAGAAAAAATAACAGATACTGTGTCTTAGAAAGGTTGTATTTTTTCTTCTTTTTTTTTCAAACCAAGAGATTGAATCAAATACATAAGGCAATATTTAATTGTAATGTGAGAAGAGGCAAAAATTTCCTAAAGCATGATGCTGCCACCAACATATTTTCATGAAAGGCATTAACAACAATGGAACAGATTTTTAAAGATAATGTTCAAACGTGCATTTTAAATGACTATTAGCATAAAAAGTGTGATTAGTCAGAATCAGATAAAATAATTTCTTAATCTTCAGATTTTCTGGCTCCTGTTTACAACCTAGAAGCAAAAGAAGCTCAAACAACTTGGAAAATCTCCCTGAGCTATTCTTTAAAAAAAAAATAGTATTTGTTAGTAACACAAAAACCAAAGCTATTAGTGAGGAGAAAAAAGGCATCAAGCGGTGATGGGGTAATTTAGAGATAAAGATGATTTAAACAAATCCTTTGTTATTTAGAAATTCAGCTCTTTATAAACTGAACAATCCATTCTTTTTTTCCCCAGCTTTTATTGTCACTAGTACAGAGCAACAAAATTCACATCCCCTTGAGGAGCAATGCAGGGTTAAGGGTCTTGCTCAGGGACCCAGAGTGGCAATCTGTGAGAGAGGAGCTCAAACTCAGAACCTCCAGATTCCAATGCCCTAGCCACTAGGCCGCCACTCCCCTTAAATAATAACATCTAATAATCCTCATTTAAGACAGCTCAAGATTAAGAAGGCTGCAATCTTCAAGGTTTGTTGGAATAAATGAGAATTCCTTGTGAGAAAAGCATTGTTTTTTATGCCTGCAGACCCCCTTTGGTTCAGCCGTATATATGCTGTGTTAGTAGATATGTGTGTTGTTGTGCTGACTGTCTTGTTTGGTATAAGCTCAGAGGCAGAGAGTTGTCTCTTCTCTTTAAGTGTGTAATTTGTATTTAAAGTTATGATTACATGGCAGTACAAAGCCTATGACAGGAACAGAAGAGATTCCCCAGAGCTAACCAAAGCAAAGCAAGTCGCAGGCATCACATTAGGGCTTTAAGAGCTTGTCTCAACTATATGTTGATTCATTTAATTGAATTTAATGAGATGTTCTCTTATTTATTCACTCTAGTAAACATAAAAAGATTACTTTAAATCTCAAACCTCACAAAAAACAAACATCAACATCTACTTTTTTTTATTTTTAGAAATTCATTCAACTTTATTAACCTTTTTAAATTCCCATATTTAAATCAAGGTTTTAGTTTTTTTTTTGTTTTATCAAGGATCTATATTTGTAACAGGACTATTATTATATATATATTTTTTTTTATAAAAATCTATTTTTACATCTTTCTTTCAACCAAATTTACCAAATTTAATTTTGATTTAACATTTGAATTACTACAAACTTAACTCTTCTCACAAACATGGCTCTTTACACAAGCTGTAACTCTTCCATGGTAAACACATTTTAAGCAGATTATAAAGCAAAAAAATAGACTTAGACTTTGATAACTTTATTGTCAGTTTGTAAAGACTCTGTGTATACAAAACAAAATTTCATTTAGTAAAGCTTTTCAGGCAGTAAATACTTTAGACAGCATCAGTGTCTAAATTTTGTAAAATCTAATGTGACAAAAACCGAGTGCCTCTGTGATTAAAAATGTCTATTGTGTTGCATAGCCTTTTATGGAATTGCATTGAAATGTGTGATCCTGAATAATTGATAATTCATATTGACATTATTTTCACACGTATATTATTATAAGCCGATGTGAAAATCAAAACAACCATCATATGTCTGATAATAATATTATTTTTAAGTCATTTAACAAAACCATTTACTCTGTGTGAGTTCCATATCCTTATACGGCACCATAAAAACTGACCACACATCTTGTATTGCCTCTGTGCGTCATTTAAACATACTGTCACGCTATCACATTGCCCAAGTAATACCACTTACCAAACCCTTTCTTTCCCCCAACTGAAATACACAAACAAACAGCAGCAAGAGGGGAATATACACATTTATAGTATTATTGTATTTTATTAAATGCAACATTACTGACTCAGGTTTGTATTGAATTGGTCAGTACCAATGTGGATGCCAATATGTCAAATATGCCATTTTAAATTAGGGACAAACATTCTAAAAGGATCCCAATACTGCATCAAACTGCAACAAAATAAAAGCTCAATCAGTGGGAGCAAGATGTGAGTTAATTTTAGCGACAAAATATCAATTGCTAGTTCAGAACCCTTGATAGGGTTCTGAACTAGCAATTGTGCAAAATGTACATGGCTGTCAAATGTGTGTTTTACAGCAAATCCAACACATTTACTTTGAAGAAGTATTATACTAAAACTCAGTATTGCAAATGCATTTTCGGAAATAACTCATATCAGGTGGAAAAGTCTTGATCAGGACATCCTAAGTTTGAAACAATCACAATAAAAAATATAAAAAGAAAACAATTACTTCAATTACTATGATATTTTTTCTAACTCCATTATTCAATTTTATCACTTTACATGTATTGCGTCAGTTTCACAGAGGATAATCACTGTAGGTGAACTGCCTCTTCCTTGTGTCCCCTGTGTTACGAATACCCACTCTCTATATGAATAAAAAACCAACAGAATTATGATGACAAATTTTATTTTTCTTAGTTGTTTTAACCTAAACTGTGGTAACATTTCAAAGACGGAAGCTGATTTAAACCCTTATAAGTCTACGTTGGTCTTCAATTTGCTGTTAGTTTTTAGCTATCTTTTTTTTTTTTTTTTAAAGGTATGTAGTCTGGGTATAATAAAAACTTCATGACAGAAACCTACGGTACTTTGAAAGATCCAAGTTTATTTCTTTCCTGATTAAATTTCTCTAGCAGTAAATTTGCAGCATAACTCATTATTTTCTCGTTATTTTGAATCTGTGTTCAGGCGCAGGGGGCAGAGGTGGAACAAAAAAAATGCAGCTTTTGTGAGAAAAAAAATAGAGAAAAAAAATAATAAATCCAGAAACTAATCACCAAGGAATAAAATCATGCAACATCTTTTGAACACAGAGAAAAGATCATGAAGAGCCCATAAGTAATCAAAAAGCAAACAACCAAGAAAGATGAGCGGGTTTTAATTCATTTGTTATTTGTGCTAACACCCATGTTTGCTGAGAGCAACAAGGTTCTGAGCCGCCTGTGGTACAAAAGCTGACAGTAATCTCTCGAACGCTGAACGCTACATAGCAGCTGCTTGCTACCGCTGACAGATCTTATGTCAGCACGTTCCACATCAGTCAGGGTTAAAGCTGCATGTTAATAGTGTAACATCTAGTCCGGAGACCAACTGGCAGAGGGCAAAGACTATATCTTAGCAAAATGCCTTTTGCTAATTGTTTTATCTCTGCATAAAAGCAAAATAATCTTTAATAACTAACAATTAAATGCTTTAATCTATGTTTCCAAATTCATTTTTAAGCAGCCATTTGGGAAAAATATTCACCTGAAGAGCAAAGATTCAATTCTCATTCCTCCAACAAAGATAGAGAAAGGCCCTTTTTGGTCTACCTATCAGGAGGGACCTCAGAAAGAGGGCAGCAGCTGTGCTCTGATAAGCCCATCTTTGATGACACCAAATCTATAAATGTCAGCCAAATCTTTAGCTGCAAAAGAGGAAGGAGAAACATCTCCAGTTCAGTACTATTGATCTTTTAAACATGTAAAATAAATCTAAGATCATGCTCCAACAAACGTGTAAACATCAAGGGACAACTGATCAGCTGACACAGCTTGTGCAGGCTGATTAGGGAGAGAGAGGACATGCTCAAGGTGTTAAAAGGGACAGAGTCTTGTCATCTTTCCAGACTTCAAAAGCCATAATGTTTCAGTGTATCGGGCCATGCAATCACGAACCTGCCTGAAGGGAGCCTCCTACAGATCAAAACCAACATCAAACAAGCAGCTAATGGGAGAGCTGACAGTCAGGACCCACCAGAGTGGCATCACACAAGCGAATATATCATAATTACCCTCATATCTTTATTATGTAAAAGCAAGGATCACAAAGAGATGTGTGGAAATATCAAAATTATTAACGGGCTGACAGAAGGGTCATGCAGGAAAACAGGAGGAGCAGAAACCTCACTACAGAAACAAAGGAATTGTGGAAGAAATGGTTTGAAAAAAAATGTGTCCAACCTCAAAGGTATATTACCTCACAGAGTATCTTAAAGACACTCGATGTGTGGAGGGTAGAGTTGGAAGTTTAACAGTTTGAGGTCTAATTTGCGGTTGAAGACAGCACTCTGTACTGGGTTAAATTGGGTTAAACCAACTACTTCAACCCCTACACCAAGTAAAACCAAGTGAAAATAGTTGGGCCTTAATTGAAAATTAACCACACCTAACTGCAGCTGATCACTTAAGCCTACGTCAAACTTAATCAATACAGAGTGTGGTGTTGGAATGCATCCTGCAGGAAAACTCATTGTTACATATGATTATATAACATATTTCATTTAGTCATGCTGGCAGAGCAGAGACACAGTATATCAAATAGGTTGGTAATGATATCAACCAATGCATCTTCAGATATTATTTGGTTGAGAAAACAGTTTTGAAAGAAACAGCTTTCTGTTGCAGATGCTTAGATGGTGACCATCTGCAAGTATGGCCTTTTATCACTTAGATAAAACCAATTTCAGTTTGCATTAGTTTAATTGTTTCATAAAAAAAAAAAGCTAGAGCTAGAACTCAGGGTCCATCTGACTTGCTGTTCAAACTGTTGTCTCTTCTCTCTAAAATTTCTTCCTGCTACCAAAGCATCTTTGCCAACTCAAGTCAATCAAATTAAAGCATTATTTTTTTACTGGCAGCTATGGAAACAAAAGCAGAGACAGGAGTCAAAACTGAGCTCACTTTCATAACCAGTAACAAACATCATTCAGGGGGTATGCAGTTGATTGTTTTGCTGTGTGACTCCCAGATATAAGTAATTAACATTTAGCTAAACTGAATGTCTGAAGAACACAACAAATGCCATGTTCTAAAAACTATGGGCTAATTGGATATCTGCAAACTTTCATTTTTTTATTTACATATACAGTGAGGAAAATAAGCATTTGAACACCCTGCTATTTTGCAAGTTCACCCAGTAAGAAATCATGGAGGGGTCTGACATTGTCATCATAGGTTCATGTCCACAGTGAAACATAATCTAAAAAAAATAAAATAAAAAAATCCAGAAATCACAACATATGTCTTTTTAAACAATTTTTTGTATGAACTTGTATAAAGCAGGCTGTTCAAATATTTATTTTCCTCGCTGTATAAGTTCTCAATATTGGTACATACCAAAATAAAACAGGTTTTAGTTGTTCTTAAATATTGCTTTAGCTTATTAGCTTCCAAGTCTAAAGTCACAATGCTACATATATAACAAAAACTTCCAGAAGTGGTCATTTTGAGCCAACCGGTCGCATCAGTTCTTCAAAGTTCTCCATTTTCATTCATTAGCCTTAGACCATTGAGGTTTGATTCATTCCATTAAATGATTTCTTCCAGCAGAGCAGCTTTCCCTCTCAGAAAAATGTCTATAACTACATTTGATATACACAGTCCTATTGCAAAGAGAAAATTAGGCCTTTTATTTTTTCTTCAATTGCAAAGCTCATTCAAGGGCCATTTTTATGCAGGCGGGAATGAGTTTTGAAAATTCCTCTTTTTATTCATCTTTGATGGATGGTGCACCCAGGAGAGTTGAACAAGGTATAGGCGAGAGGAATACTGATTGTTAACAGAGCAATGAATCTGTACCCTGATATATCCCAAGAGATTGTTTTGGTATTAAATCCACTGACCTTCTGGGTGTCTGTGTCGGCAAAGGTCAGGCCGAAGTAGTCCTTCTCCAACAAGTTGAGGTGCTCGCACACCATGTCCATCAGGGTCTGTCCTTTGGAGTGCTTCTGCTGACAAAAACAAAGAAGACACCAAAGGGTCAAGAAAAGCAGTCAAAGGTTTATGGTTTGTGAGTCTTGCTTTTGTTTTGCCATGAGCTAGTTATTTGTTTTCTTGAAACCAATATATTTTTTAAGCTCCTTTTTAATGGACTATATTGACTTCTCTTTTATTTTTTGTTCTTTTATAGGTCATTTTGCTTTATGTTTATGTTTTACACCTTGTTTTGGTTCCTTAGACTTTATTTCCAATTAACTACTTTGCTATGCTTTCTTCTACATTTTCTGCATTTAATGAAAGCTATACTCTCTTTTTGGTAGGGGAAGTGTTTTTTCCTGTTTTCATTTCCAAGAGATACTTTGTCTGCTCTAAGTCTGTATAGTTTACGTTCCAAACAGGAGCAACAGAGGAACTTCTACAGACCGATGAACTTCAGACGTGTACAGGAAAATCTATCCAATCACTACGGAAGGATTATTTTCTTCTAAAATTAACATTCTTTTTGGCTACAGGTACAAGTCGAGAAGAAATCCAATAACAAAAAAAATCTTGCCAGTGCAATCAGAAGCTGGTTTGAATGGTGTATGAAACATGAAAAAATAAGTCTTTTCAACATTTTCCTTTAATTTTAGAGAGTAAATTTAATAAAGGACCCTTTTTAATAGTTAATCAAGTCATCTGTGAAAACCTGTTCTTTGTGCTGTACCAAAAGCTGCTGGCGATAAATAATCAGAACCCATCTTTAAGTTCTCTCAATTATTTCGCAATCATGCTCTTCATTAGAGAATTGTGGAATCCTTCTAGCTAGTTAGTGGGTACTCGTCATTTTATGACAGAGCACAGACTCTGAGTAGATGTTGCAGGACAAAAGTTAAGCTTTCAGTAACTACACTTTAATGAGGTACAGTATAACTGCAATGATGTAAGAAGGTATATTCAAAGTTTCCATTACTTTCTAACACACTTTAAGGTTCTTCAGCATTCCCAATTTAAAGCTAGATTTCTGTCATGTAATTTTTCAAAGATCTGTTTAACTGATTCAAACCTAGCTCTGTTTTTCCATCAATCCATTAACCACCCATCCGTCCATCCACCTTTAGACCAAACTAATAACTTTTGTTGTTTGCAATTCAAGTTTATAATAAAGTTGAATATTTTAAATCACCAGCACTGGTAACTGGTTTTATGTGACAAAAAATCATCATAATGGCTAAGACAAGCCTATAACTAAAGAATTGCTTCATGCAAGAGAAAACTAAGTTAAGATCAACCTTTCAAACTTAAAAGTCCAGGTTCAGGGGTAATTGTTGTAATCATAACTCTTGCACCGTTTTATTCAACAAGTTGGTATTTATGATGGTAATAGTTGTTGACAGAGCGATACATTCTGTTTGAAAATGCGAGGCACAGAACACGGAACAGGGTGGAATGGGTGAATTGAATTATGACTTAAATCTCATATTTCTGCCATACTGCTAAAAGATTAGTTTATTAAGTTATCATTTAACAGGCTAACATCTAGTGGCAAACCAAGCTGAAAGCATCATTTTCTCTTGAGTGTATGCTTTCAAACACCAATGGAACATTTTTGCAAACAGAAATGCATTAGGATTCTTTTTTGCCACTATTCTAATGTGATAGAAGCAAAAAGTCATGAAAAGATTATATTCCTGTATCTGGGGCTACATTATATGGTCATATTGATTAACAAACTCAGGTAACTGTGGAAAAAAATCATTAACGTTTCGATTATATTTTTTGTTGTTTTTCTGACTTATAACTCTTTAAACTGGAAACTAAAACATCCAATCAAAATGAAATGCATATTTTGCTTGTGCAAACCTTTATGCCAATTCTAGAAATAAGGACGTGAACAAAAAAGAATTTGGCCTAAAGGGGTCAAGATCAATAATGTTGGTGCAACGGTATTTCCATGGTTTCTCTGAGCCTTAGGCATGGAACAAATTCATAAAAACCTAATATCAGTGCTTTCCAAACACTCTGCTTACTTCATAGCTGCAAGCAGTTACAAAAGGTTGTATTTATAGGATGATAAAACAGTTTTAAATCCAAACCTCAGATAGAATTTGTTTAAAGGTTTTTACCAAAAATATTGTTACAGTACATCTGTCTTCACACAGAAGGAAACCTACTTCATTCTATTTATGCACTCATTGGCTTCAGTTAAATTCAGAACAAAGACGTCTATGTTAGTGTTTACACCTAACATCTAACCACACAGTTTTATACTCTCACACATGCTTCCTTCTTTTGTGGCTCCTTTGTGCACTGACAGTAAAATTGGGCTAGCAGTTGCCAGGGAAACAGATGCAGTATTATTCTTCTGCTTTCTTGTTTCTTAATATCCCAAGGGTATGCCAAAAAAGTGTTTTAACTATTGTTATTGTGTTAAAGCAACACTTGGCGAATGGATAGAATATTGAATTCCAGCATTGTTGATGGGAAAATGGAACAAAAATTTGCAATGTGGAAAACTCAATTCTGCCTAAAATAGCCCAGTGGCATAGCCCAGCCTGGTTTGACCACACATGGAAGGTGGGTGTGGCGCCTCCGCTCCTGGCCAGCTGCCGAGGAGAAGCTCAACAATATATCTGTGACAAACAAAATACCCCAGGAACACAGCACCTCATCTGAAGAGAGCACTTGTGGTGCCAACCTCCTCTTGGCAATCTAAACAGCAAGCCTGGAGGCAGGAGGGAGGATCAGGAGAGACGGACAGGAGGTTCCACCCCTGCATCAACAGGCTGAAGCCAAGCTGCCTGTTCACACTTCATACTTATGTCTCAGGCTGTCAATAAGTAGGGCATTTTATATACAGTTCTATGCAAAAGCATTCATAGAACCTTTTCACAGTTAATCACATTACAACAAACCTTGTTTGCTGACATCTACTGAGAAGTGTCTGTATCAGCTTTACAAACCTGGAGACAAAAACTCTTCATCTGCTCATAATCACTCTAGTCAACTGATAACTGGGTAATTAAATTCTCTTATAAAAGTTTTCCAGCAACTTTTGACATTCTATCACATAAGACATACAAATCTGGAAGGTGTACACATATCCATTCACAATCTGTGACTTCATTGATTTTAGAACCATGTTTTGCTCCAACTACAGTTGAAATGTTTGGCCAACTTTTCTTTCCCAAAGGGCTAGAGCATTGTCAGATTGGATGTAGAGAATCTGTGAACATCAAGCATACAGTAAAGTCTTGCCAATGACCTAAGCTAAAATACAAAATACTGATTTAAATTCCTCTTGTAGTACTGTTTTGAAATGCCTGCCAGTATGTTGGTCCTTTTTTCTTTTCTTTTCTTTTTTTTTTTTTGCTAGTTTGCATAAAAATCAGAATGCAAGAATATTATATAAGAAAGTTTGAATCAAACACCTTTCACTTCCTGTGACTGTGCAGTTGCCAGGGTGGGATACTAATCAAGAAGAGCAATTCAAACAGAAAGGCTTAGTAACATCAAACCTAATGGAACAAGGATATTGACACTGTATGAAGATGCCCGAATGGATTTCAGAATGTTTTCAGGGAGCTGAGAAAGATGACGGTATACATGCAGCTCTTCTGATAGTCCAAACTCACAGGTCGCCCTGCCCCCATCATCACGGCACACACTTAAACCTCATACACTTGTGCAAAAAGTATCCCCGGTAGTGTTCTTGCACTATAATAACATTGCTCTTCTATTTTCTCCTTGGCTGCACCTAGCTCGCAATCATGTAACCACTATAGACTTTTTTAGCACCCAGTTAGTGGTCTCTGCAAGCGGCTTTACAACAGTAGAGAAAAAAAGCCCCATAGGGAGCCCATGCTTTAAGAGGTTTTTCAGCAAAAAATTCAAACCAAAAGTAAAACACTGCTTGTTAGATCCTTTAATGTTGCATACAGATATAATTGGCTCCTGATTCCATTTAACAAACCGCAAAGGGACCAAACTTTCATAAACTATGCCAATATGAATTGGATTAGGTGATGTACATCAATACGGTAAAGATGAGGAAAAATTCTTAACCTGTGTGTGTGTTTCTTTGCAAATACATGCAAAGCACTGCACACCAATAAATCTCTGCCTATAGAGCTCCTGTTTAATGCACAGAGGCTGGGACTTTCCTGGCAGACTTATTGTGTGTAAGATTTGCTTTTGCTCAGATTCTGTGTGAGGGAGTAGAAAACACTCAGCCTGCACAGAAACAGCTTGAGAAATTACTGTCCAGAACCCTCCACACTCCAGTAATTGGATATTAATTCTTTCCAGTAGAATCCAGCAAAGTTATTTTTAAAGAAAGCGATAAAACTGGTCAACAGGAGCTGTTGTTACTGCAGGTCAGAAAAAATAAATCCCACTGAATTTATCTCAATGAACTCCCTCACATCTTCTTTGCTCTCAGTTCCTTTCAAGGCAACTGCAAATTGCTCAGCTTCACACAGTTGCACATTCAGTGGGAGATGAAGACCTGGTCCCTGCAGTGTAGTAATGTCTAACACTTTGAAGGATCAGCTCTACTGGTGACTTCGCATAGAACACACAAGTCAAAATGATGCAGTCAGAAAATGCAAATCCCACTTCAACAAAATGTGTATATAAATTACTGGTCTCCATTTAGCATACCTCAATTTCTCCCTCATACTCCAAGGAATCCAGCAGTGCCACCTTGAAGGGGGATGTTTTAAGGCGTTTGGAGCCTCTCTGAGGGGATTTCAGGTTCTTGTTCGGGGAGGTCTTCTCGGATGTGTCCTCCGTTTCTCTGTGTTCCTCAAGGTGCCTGGAGTTTTGTTCCTTCATGTGTAAAAATTAAAGAGATCAGGAAAAGAAAGATACATGAGTGGGGCTTTAAAATGAATATAGGCTTTCATCTCAATGAAAAATGAAATAAGATGTTTTTTTAAATAAAACACAACTCTATTGCAAAAGATACATAACAAACCATCAGTTAAAAATCAGAGTAATTAATTTAGAAGTAGAGGTGTAAGAAAAAGCCTGTAAAATTTCAGTTCGATCAGCCACTGTCTGTCAGAAACTTAAGATCTGGGATCTTTTTTTTAAATTCACAACATGCACATTAATCAAGGCAATAGATCTTGATCAAATGTGAAATGAAATGTAAAATGTGTAAACATTAATTCTGTTTTATAGTACAGGTCCCAGGCCTAAACAGGGCATAACTACTGAGAGAAGCTGTTAGAGGATGTCTAGCATCCTAATTAGCTGATAAACTCAAGATGTGAGGAAATGAAAATGAAGGCTACCAGCCATCTCCATTGTGTACATTACAAATTATTCTGTTCACAGACCCAGTCTGATCTTTTTACCTAAAAAAAGAACCGGACACATCTATGCATCTAAATCAGATGCTGGCTCTTTTGAATCAAAGCCATTATTTCCCATGAAAAAGAGAACAAGAATATATAAGAAAAAGTTATAATCCACGAGGATTACATGAACAGCCAGGAGATATACTATGTACATGTATTTTTCATGTAGTAAGTGCTCTGATCACTCCAGTAAAGTTTTCTGACTGTTCTGTATAGAAACAGCTTATAGTTAATACCTACATTAACTTTAAAAATAAATAAATGCATTAAATAAATAAAACTTGCCCAGACAAATACTTTATTTTAAACTGAGGCTTCCCGCCTGTATGCGAGGGGCTGCTGCTAGGAACGACTACAACATAATATTTCAACGTAGCACCTTGTGCTTTGAGGTGTAATTGCACTTGACAACATCATAAACCCTTTTTTCCTCACTCATCAAAGCAAATAAAGTAAATCCACACTCTCAATTGCATCTGCCATTGTACAGAGACTAGCAAAGCAATTTAGATGCATACGAGGGGCGTTCAATAAGTAATGCTCCGACCCACTTTCAGATGTTTGATTGAGCTGAAGTTTTGCATGTGATTTTATTTAAATCTCTATAGATTAAGTAGCAAATCACAGCTCTAAACTTTTTTTTAGTTTCTGACTTACAGGTTTTTGAACTGAGTAAAGTCTGAAATGGAGCCTGATGAGTGTCGAACAGTGATCTGGTTTTTCTATTGAAAAGGACTCGCACCACGGGAGACTTTTGATGAAATTAAGGTAACTTATGGAGATGATGCCCGTTATATGACCTTGCAAAATGTTTTACAAGGTTATATTATGGGACATTATCACTATAAGATACTTTCATTTGATCAAAAGTCTCCCATTGTATGCGTCTTTTCAAATGCTAAAACTCAGACTTGACTCAGTTTTAACAGCAGTAAATCAGAAACCACAATTAGTTCAGAGCTGTAATTTGCTACTTAATCTATAGAGATTTAAAATACTTCACATGCAAAATTTCAGCTCGAATAAACATCTGGAAGCGGGCCAGGGGCATTACTGATTGAACGCCCCTCGTACATGCTGCTCTTTGCGAGTTGTGCATTGTGCTGTTCTTTACATGTAGCTGGATACAAGACACTGTGCAACCAAAACTGCTCAGTCATGTGAAACAGCATAAAGACAACTATGTAAGGGAGCTATGAAAAGCGTAATACAACACAGAATAAACATGATTCACAATGAAGCAAAACAAGAATCTATGCACAAAACATAAAGCCTAAAATCACAACAAAGGTTTATGTAGATCTATTTAGTTAGAGATTAAAAAACATGAGCAAATAAGCAGTTGTAGCTCAATAACTTTCAAGGTGTGAAGTTGAGTCTCAACACTGTTTACCAATAAAAAAAAGGATTCAAAGCAAGATATATAAATTTGACCAAACTCCTAGTACTTTTCTATTCTAGCTCCTTTTTTCATCTTCTTATCAAATGAAACTATAAGAAATGAAACAAACGATATCTATGAAACCAAGATTTCCAAGTAAATGGCAGCTTTCTAAAACTTTTGAAAAAATAAAAAATAAAACACATCTTCCTCTTTCCCTTTGGTCTTTTGTTTACCTTTACATAAATCTAATGGCCTTGCACAACCCACACAGTTATACGCATTGATTTGCATAGATATACATGTGGAAATGGGAGTGAATTGTTAGATTCACTTGTGTCAAATCTTTAATGTAGACTTTGAAAGTTAATAAGACATTTGCAGATGTACAATCAGCTGTACTTTCTAACTGAAATATTATTAAAACTCCCTAAATACTGAACACACTAATGGATGTTTCTTTCAATGTGATGCAGCTTTCCACAGACCATCTCCAGTGAGTGCACTTTAAATACCCTGTTGATGGAGTTGTGACTGGACTGATTACTAATGGGTTTTAAAGGTGTTAGGATTCCTGCAAGGCTTCAGCCGATAAAAAAAAAACACAGCATGAAGTTCTAATTTCCTTCTAAATCCTGTGCTTTGAGTTCCCTACTGTGCCTGTGATACATCATCTTTAATCATAATTGCAGTATTACTGTTGGATATAAACTTACTCTGATAGTAGTCACTTTATTTTAGCATGCAGATGACAGGAAAAAAAATCACCAACAGCCAACCTTAAGAAAAAATAGGAAAGTTGCATGCAGTATTTCCCTGAATTAAAAAAAAAAAAATCCTGTTGTAAATCACTCAGTAGAATTAGAAGTTGCTAAAGAAGTTCCATCCTACCTTTCTCATGCTATTTTTCAGTCAAACGGCAATGCATTCTCTGTTTGCTCTAATCCCAACTCTATCAGTGCATCAAAAACCTAAGTGCATCTCCAAAGTGAAACCTAATAGGTAAACTTGCCTGAAAGATTAATTCTCTTAGTAAGTCCACAAACATGAAAATGTATGAAATTTTATTTCAGCCACTCATATTGCCGTATTATAGCTGAAAGAGTGACACATAGCTGTGACAAAAGCAAAATCTGCCAATCCCACAGCCAGAGCAAAGTAAACATAACAGCAGAGGGGGATGTTTGCATAGCTGCTGCTATCATGCATATTTTGTCAGAATCCAAGATTTTATCTTTAAAAGAGGAAAACAAGCATATAAAGGTGTGTTTTTTTAATTATACTGAGTGGGCACTACGTAGGTTTCACCATGCCCAATCCCACCTTTCCCCGAAACAGATTCAACCAGAGAGGGCCAATATTAATAATGTGTAGAACTAAACTAAACTCATATTATCAGTAAGGTTTTTCCAACTTACCCTATTAGGGGAGAAATGAAAAAAAAGAAATAAGAAAATTTCATAGTGTGGTTATTAAAACAGATAGACGAGTACCAGACAAGTATTGCAGCGTCATCACATCATGTTGACTTAGCAATAATTGCCCACTATTCTTTGCAAAAGTTCAGCTATTCCTGGCAGACTAGAAATGCATCTTGTATTCTTGTGTATCATGGATAGAACTATAAATTCTTAACAAGGCAATTCCAAAACATAGGTCTTCTAATGGTGAAGCTTTGTTAATAACAATGTACGATTTAGGGTGGTGTAGTACTAAAAGTTTATTTTAATTTTTCGATCAGAAGAAAAGGTTTGTACTAACAATTGTATTCTGAATTTCATAACTCTGTTCATATTGAGTAAATCTCCAGCTCAACATGAAAAATCTTACTATCTAACCTCAAATGCTAGACATATATTTAATTTTGGAGAATGTTGTTATACACAACAAACAGCCTTCAGTAATTCCTGTCTCTGCTCATGTGATGTTGTGGTACACATCTTAGCAGATTCCTTCAGTAATTCAGACGTTTAGTTTTTAGTAATCATTTGCATCATATTTTCCCTGCTTCTTAATGCTTTTACATCTAATTCATAGTATTTTCTTTTACACCCTTCTCCTGACTGTCACCTTTTGACATTGAGATCCTTCTGATGATTTGGGTGCCCCCTGCCGGGGCTTTGCTGAGAGGTGGAGCGATAAAAATGTTAAGGTACATTAGAGCAGTTGAACTTTTGGGTTAACTTGTCTTCAGGCTAGGCCTTTACAACATGTACAAAGACTCTTATTCAATATTATTTTTACTGGTTAGCGGTCACAGCTATGAAATTTATAAAGTGCCAGTCATGTACTGTATGTGACCACACATTTAAAACGGGAGTAGGTGCATGGAAAACACTTAGATCATCAGAGCAATATAAACAAGTCAAAGTGTGGTATGCTGATAGGCTCCTACTAATAAACTAAATAACAAACTATAAGTCAAATTCTTATTTAAAAAGCTATTCAATGCAAAATAGTTCAAAGCTCTGCAAAAATCCATTAACACCTTATATTATTATATTTTATTTTTTATAAATAGTACAAAGCCTTAAGTAGTTAGATAAAATCCTAAAAATGTAAAATGTTTTGAAATTATGCTAAAGGACTCAAGTTGCAGCACTCGAGTATCTATGCTTTCCAAAATTCCTGGGGGAAACAATGCATGCCCAATTAGTGGTTGTGTTGTGGTGGATCCACACAGATTGCATGTACAGTGCATAACAGGTGCACAGTAGATTGGACTGCTCTATTCAAATGAGAAGACTGCTTGTGCTAATGGCAGTTTGGGGTAGCAGGGTAGCTATAAAAGAACTATGACACTATTGAGCTGGAGGTAACTATGATGTTATATAATAACATTATTAATGATAATAGTATTTAAAATGCACCTCATATAACAGCATCTTGTATATAAGTGTTACAAAACAACAGAAAAATACTTTAAAAAGATGAAAATAATTAGATATTGATTAACCAGGATAAAACCTGAAAAACTTAACTGAAAGACAGTCATCTAAGAAGCATCAACTAAGCTCTAAACAGCTGTTGCAGGGGTGAAGATCTCCTTCAAAGTTGAGGTTCTTGACCTGAAAAGAGGGGATTGCCCTCTTAAGGTCAGAGGAGGGTTCGTGCCTCAAGTGATGGAGTTCAAGTATCTTTAAGTTCCAGTAACAAGGTAAGGAAGATGTTGCTGTTGCTGGGTGGCTGGGCTCTCCCTTAGAGGTAGGTTGAGGAGCTCAGCCATCCAGGAGGAGATTGGAGTGGAGTAGCTTCTCCTCCACATGGAGACGATTTAGCACGTTGGCTCGGACTGTTTCCAGACACGTCTCACCTGGAGGAGGCCCAGGGAATAGCCCAGGACTGGAGGGACTATATCTCTCTGTAGGCCCTGAAACTGCTTGTGCTGTTGCCTTTCTTCGCCACATTTAGCAGAAGGCCAACTTCAATTACCTCTGCCAATTTTCCTGTATTATACAGAAGCTCTCCATAAGTGCATCCAGACATAATTGTATTTTGTGATAAAGTGACGGAGGGCTGGAAACATAATCCTGTAGCTCCAACATGGCATTGTTGGAAAGATTATATGTCTTTACTATCTTAATAAAAGACAGCCAAAATAGATGAGAGGCCATGGCAAAACCTGGAACAAGTCTACCTAGGGTCGTTTTAAATATTTACAGATACTGAAAGACTGCTTCTGAGAGTGCTTCACAATTATGTTAAACTTGTGTACATCAGAAAATAATAGAGGATCAAGGCTATTTGAATGCTGGCCCTCTTTTTAAAGGGCATTAAGGAGAAATGTAATTGGTAACTGTGACAAAGTGGGTGAGAACACCATTTGTCTCAGTTTATACATTTATTTTGTTTGCTTGATTTAACCATCTCTTTATTCTGTAGTTTGCATTCATTTACTATCCCGGGTTTGTTTATGTTTGCATTTTTACAGATAATTTAGTAAACATCTTGGTTTAAATCAGGTGATAACTTTTCAAGGTTTTGTTTGATTATGTAACTTTAGTTTTATTTTGGTGAACTTACCTTACCTGTCTTTCAGGAGGAAGTGTGACCTCACTTCCTGCAATTAAAGACTCCTGTGTAGAGCTGTGGTCACAGGAAGATACCAGAGGAAGAGGGGGGGATGAAAATCCTTTTACATTTTGTTAACTATTTAAAATCCTTGCCAATGTTACATTTAGATGTAAATATTTGTATGGTGTTTATTCAGTACATTTTGCTTAAAATTATAGTATGTAACAACAGCTAGGTAGAGAGTAAATGGAGCAGCCATATTTGTTAATGGAAGAGTCCATTGGAGGCCATTTTGTGTTTCAGACCAAACAGGTATAAAACAGAGCTGTTTGAGGTTCAGAAGAGGGAGGAACCAGGTCAGTGTAGCTGGGTGCACTTGACATTATTTATGGTTGATTTAAGTTCAGTTAATGTTCTGTTGAGCCATGTTAAACCTCTGAGTTATTTTTTTTGGAAATTTCTTTTGTAAATACTTTTTTTTGCACCCTTGTTTTGCAATGTAAATAAACCACCTGCTACATTGGACATCTGCCTACTGCCTTCTTCAGCCACTTGGCCAGGCTATCTCACAGTAACAAAACATATTAAGTCAAATACCTTTACATACATTACCTCCCCCAGCAGTACATGTCCATAGAGGGTTTATGTCAACAAACTGCAGGATTTTACTATGTAAACGTAATTTACAGCACTACATTACAATATTTGTGTTATACTTATTTGTTGCTCAAACAATGTTCAGATATGCAAAAAAATAACAGTAACTTCAATAGTAACGCACACAAAAACTGTGTTGCTTTTATCACTGCATATTTTTGGTCATTGAAAGTTGCATGACTGCTACTTGATCTACATTGAATATTTTGATTAAACTATTAAATGTTTTTCGAGTATACATAATGAAGGGCTTAAAAGACCTAGTTCTGTATTACACTCCACAATGTTGCATTTTATTTATAGCACCTAAATTTCTTCTTTATTTAATCGCTTTTAAAATCAGCTGATTTTGCTAGCCGATTTGATATAAAACACAAGCTAACACCATTATCTTGTGTAGAAGTATATGCACCCTTGTTAGCACAAAATTAATGAAATGGTTATATAAAAAATGTTTTATTGATCTTATTTATTGCAGCTGCTCACAAAATGGTAACATTAGGATTTTATTTTAAAGAAAATTTAATTATTATTGCTAATTTCCACGTGGGGGGGGCACCAAGTTTTTACTCATGGCCTCCTAATGGCTATCATTGCCAGTCACAGGCATTTTTGCAGCATCGGGTTCTCCTTAGATGAGCTAATTATAGCTTGCAGAGTTTGACCTTAGTTTTCCTGCATAGTGGATGTTTGCTCTGCTATTATCATTCAACTCTGCTCCATCTTGTTTAAGACACTTAAAGAGCCAGGAAAAGATCACAGCAATGATCATTTATTTCCTCTGCTGTTTCTCACTCCTCCGAAGTTCCCTCTGATTGATGTAATGATGGACACTACACGTCTTACTTCAGGTACAGGGTTTTTATGATAGCTCAAACTGTTACTCTGAAAAAAATTAATAAATAAACAAACATTACAAAGTGCAAAACATATATATTTTTTTGCCTTTTTCTTTTTCACAATGGCACTGCAAAGAACATGAGTGCAAATGCACCGATAGGCCTGCCTTTCAACTTAAACCATCAGCATGAATAAGTAGCCATTTGCTCACTTAAAGGTAAATTGGTCAACATGCATTTTAAAAGCCTGCTTTGAGCCAAAAATAAAACTCTATATAAATGAGCAGTGGGTTTGCCACCTAAGAGTATACTAAGAAAACAGACTGTTTAAATACTCTAAACCTAAACCTTAACAAAAAAAAATCACTTTTTTTTTTCAGAATTTGCCTTTTGAAGTATTTTCTCAGGTTTGCTCTGCTAACCTGTTCTTCCATTTCTTATTGCACGTCATATACATTGACACACAGACAGAATATTCTCTCTTGCCTGCCTCTCCAGCCTCTCTGTCATGCCTGTTCTTACCACAACTCCAAACCACAATTTTTTGTGTAATTTTGCACCTGACTTTAAAGGGTATATAGCATAAAAGTCTTGATCTATATAATATGTACAGTAGATGAAGGAACTGCTTCCGTTGTTATCAGATTAGATAAATAATAATGTCATTGGTAGGTAAATATATCTGGTTATCTGAATATCTTGTGCAAGTTAACAAAAGTACATGGTTAGTAGATCAGCTTTGTGCTCTATGATGTTTGTAGTGTTTCATACCACTGATCTTTATTTATTCACTGGATTGCTGATAGCCGAAGAAAAAAAAAAAAAAAAAAAAAAACTACGAAGATGCACCATAAAAATGCCTGTGTGTGTAGCATTTGGCTACAAAAACAAGCAGTTTGCCAGCTGTGGGAAGACGTTTCACAGGTCATTTCACAGCCAGTACCAACAGAGCAACAGGTAATTTCACAGTCAGTAGGTTTACTAACCAAGAAAATCCATATATACGCCGATGTATATCATAGTCAAGTATGTAGCGTAACATTAGTCTGGCCTTCTTGGACTGATTCGAAGATATTGACTGAGTTAGCCATCGACATTGTGTCTAACGTTAGAAAAAAGAAAGTAGAGTAAATAGAAAGTAATTCACAGTGAAATGTAAATGTAGTAATTCTTTATTAAGTGAATGTCGCTGTTGTTTTTGTAGTGTTTGTTGTATTTCTCATTTGAAAAACTCATTTGCTAAAACATATTCTATGTTATATTCATGGGAAAAAAAGCAACTCAAACATTTTTAAAGGCTAATGCAAGGACACAGCATAAAAGTAGATGGCCTCATGCATGCAGAATTTGCAAATAGGAAAATTCTACAGCATTAACAGACATATAATTTTGGCACATCTGTATTATTATGCTCCATTAACACATTAATTTTGCTGTGATGGATTTTTATCATATGTTATATTACATGATTTATAGACTTCGCTGACTTCATAATGACTATGCAATGTGATGTGCCTATTTTGTTTTATCAATAGTTACTGTAATCTACCTGTGCTATTAAATAGCAAGTGTGTGTCCAAGTGATGAATTTATCTTTATTTTAGTCTCCCGGAAAATGGGAGAACGTCATTGTTGTTTGATGCTGTTCCACACATATTGTTTACATTGCAACCGGTCTAACTAGGGAGTACCAATATGGCAGCAGGTGGCTTCAACCAACCCTGTACTACCAACAGGCTATCAGCAATCCTGTGAATACATTAAGATCAGTGTTTTATACACACAAAGTCCTCTTAGTTACATTGAAAGTTATGATATTGCCTCACTGACCTGCTTAGCCATCTTGTTGTCAGAGGAGGATTCCTGCATGTCGGCTGCTGCCCCCTGCTTTCAGGGAGGCCCGTCAGGTTGCTACCTTCTCCTTCAACTTAAGGTCCACCTCAGTTGCTTAGTGAAGTAACACCAACCTGGGAAAAGGTAAAAATACAGCAAACATAAGCTTTAATATATTTTATATCAATGAAAATATTTTAACAAAACTTGTCATTTAAAAAAAACTGCACTTTATGCAAAAATAAATAAATATATTTTGACAAATAATGGTGAAGTTGAGTCTTGTCTGTGCTGTGTGTGCGTTGTCTGATATTGTTGGTTGGATGCATTTCTGAAACCTAATTATCAACAGAATTTACAGGATTTCTCTTTGCTTATAGCCTCATCAAATATCATGGCTTGTTGCTTCTACCAAGCTTTTGTGAGGGTACCGAACACTCAAAGCACCAGAGCCACATTTACCATATTACACTCATACGCATATCATTGTCTTGCCTGGTAGCACACTGACTACTTTTTTTTTTCAATGAGTCACAGTTACCAGACAGTAGGAAGGTCCACATGCAACATTACGATAGTCAAACTTTTTTTCTCTTTGATCTAAAGCTGCCATATTCATTTAGTTTCTTTATTATAATTTTATCTCTGTGCTCTACTTTAGAGATGTTGATAAACTTTCCATTAAACCTTTCCAATTAAAGTCCAATTCAGCTGTTAGCTATAGAGTTAGAACATATTCTAATCGACATAAAAAGTACCAATCACACATTTAATCTTTTTAACTAAAACTGACCTAGATTAGGGTGTTGCCCTTTGAAAGTGAATATTTGAGTACTCTTGATAAACCAAACAACTTTCACAGAAATAAATGGAACATTCCTCCCATAACAGGATTACAGTTATGTTCTGATTCTTAGTACATTATATAAGTCATTCATAAATACTAAACCACAAATTAAAAGTATGTGTATTGTTATCATGATAAAAAGTCTCTGGAACTTGGATATTATATACCAGAGTTAAGACATTAACGTACACTTTTACCTTTCTCCAATATTACAAGATAAAAACCACATTGTACTAGAATCCAGCCAAGACACGGCCAGATATATAGCACTGAGCGAGTTCTTTAATTTTACCATGAACCATCTGTGTTTTCTGGCTAAGTCAATGTTCCTGAAAATCAGCAGGTGCCTCCCTTCAGTTCCATTACATAGCTGGGAGAGGAGTTAAACTACAAGAGCACTGAGAGGAGAGAGAAGCCAGTTTTGTCAGTTTGAAGAGGTGTGTATTCTAGGCATGTCAAAACAAAGACACACTCAGAAAGATCCTTGAGAAGAGCGGGCAACAATGAAATCTTTAGAGTCTACAGTCTGAAGCTTTCCATTTAAATCATTTAATCAAATAAAAACCATGGTTATTTAATTCTGTGTGTGCACTTAAAACACTGGTGTTAAAAGAGCTTGCGAGATTGGTAAGGATTTGCAGGGACCATTGTTCCAGAAGACCTACATATCTATCTTTGCCCTAATGCTAAACAATGATTTTGGATCAATCAGGGAATATAAAGTATAGAATTCTGTTGCCCACAACAAAACGCAACATCCATGCAACAAAGATTCACAGTTTATTAGGCAGAGAAGGCTAATGGGAAATACGGAAACTACAGATATAAAGCTGGTGCTGAAGAGATATTTGAACCAAAAAAGAAATAACAGCCAATTTGGTTGACTTAAATGGTTTACACAACCCTTAGGCTGTAATCTGGCATTATATTTATTAAAAACATAGTACTACACTTCAACTAGAAAAAAAAAAATAGATGAAACCTAGGGCAAAGAAGTTGTGGATTTGTAGGTATAACAGAGGTAGAGGAGGTGCTGTAAGGCAAGTAATGCTTTGAAGCTGTGGAGGTTTCACATCTGGTTTAATACATTATTCCCTTTACTCTTCTTTTTCATTCACTCTGGCAAACATCAAAAATACCAAACAGATTTTTTTCTTAGACTTAAAGTTGCAGCTGTTTATTCAGTTTTATCGTACTGGAAAGGGGCTTAGATCAACATTGTTTATTAGATTGATAGCTTAACATTGGTAGATTCCATTGACAAGACAACAGATGCACTGAAGATTCTCTGACAAAAATGACTGAAAAGCGCAAGTTATGGCCGATAGACATTTAACACAGAAACAACACTGACAAAACCTGTGATTACATGACAAACAGCACATCCAGCTCTAAGAAACGTTGAACAAGCAAAGAAAAGATCCAAGAGAGCACAGGGAGAGTGGAGTTTATCAGAGTTGGGCGCACAGCAGACAGTTTTTGAGTCAGGAGGTGTGAGTTTAAACACTGTGTTCCAAAAGATTATAAAATTTCGCAGTAAAAGGGCATAACAAAAAGAAATCAGTGGTAAATAAATATTTTGATAATGGTTGTAATATTTGACCCAATAATGTGTTTCAGGTGTTTCAGTTTTTGGTTTAGGACCTTGGTTTTCATATTTTGTGTTTCTGTCCATCCCTAATATTTATCCCTAAAGAGAAAGCAATGGACAGAGTTGTGGATTCTATTAAATACCATCCTTTTTTTCCCCGTCAAGCTTTATACCAGCTGGAATCATGAGCGGTTCTGGTATCTCCAGCTGTCAATGAGAGGAGGGATTCTCACTGGACAGGTCGCCAGAGACAAACAACTGTTCACACATACACTCACAACTAAGGAGAATTTAGAGTAGCCAGTTAACCTAACAGTCATGTTTTTGACTGTGGGAGGAAGTCAGAGTACCCGGAGAGAACCCATGGATGTACAGAGAGAACATGCAAATTCCATGCAGAAAGACCCCGGACCGGAATGGAACTCAGAACCTTCTTGCTACAAGACAGTAGTGGTACCCACTGCATCCCTGAGCAGCCCTTATTTTCACTTAATTTGAACTTCCATTATCTTATGTTAACATAATGGACATATCTCCATGTTAACAATATAATTTATGTAAGATGCCAGATAAATCCAATCAACCAATATGATTGGAAGCATTAACTATTAATATAACAGCATAGATTAGTAATTTAAAACTTTTACAACAAAACATGTAAAAATTATGCAGATTTTAGATTTATACCAAAATATGTTCATAACAATTGGTTCATTCCTACAGGGAATCTTTCTCATGCATAAAATCTAGTTAGTGCATGAAAATATTTTTAACTAAATTATCCTCTATAAATGTTTACTTTCAATGACTTTTTTCAGTTTAGTGCTATTTGAATTACTAGTGTGAATTTATAATTTCCCTTAATGGGAGGGTATGTACATTTTTAAGCACAACTGTAGAGTGTAGTATGATGAGTTGTAGATCGTTACATAAAATTTTAATACATAATTTAAATCAGTAGATTTGGATTCTTATAACAGCCAGTGTTATAACAAGGGTTTTATATGTAGACTTCAGTGTGACATAAGTTTGCATTGTTATGAAGCACATTTTATGTATCTGTGGCTATAAGCTGCATTAGGTTGAAGATATTGAATTAAAATAAAAATAAACTTCACAGTCGATTTGAAAGACTGCCTGGCCAAACTTGTAAACAGAATGATTGACATTGGCAGAAAGACAAAAGGAAAAGGGTAGTATCTGATAATACAAAAATGCTACATATCCAGTGGATAATGCAATTACATACAATGCTACTCCTCTATGATAGGAATGCATTTCTTTATTAATTATACAGCTAACCGGCTGCCTTTAATGAGTCAAACAACAAATCTACCTATTTTTCATGCTGTGTAAAATTATTTTATAAAGACTAGGTACATTTCTTATCAAAGGAAAAGAATGCTTGTGACCTTGACATGTTCTTTGGCAGCAAAATACCAGGACACTTAATAACACAAAACATTTAAAGAGACTGCTTGTGGTTAAAACTCTGTTAGCTATAGGCTGTAAATAAGAGATATTTGGGAAAAACATTTTAAGACACTTTAAGGGCAAAAAAAATAGGATTTTTAAATCTAAGACTTTTCTTAAATCATGCAAAATCTTGGTGTACAAAATAAACACAGGTTAATGTTTTAAATATAACATTGTTTTGAAAGCCAAGTTATGGTATGAACACAAAGTGCATCTAATAACAAAACTAAAATAGCTCATTATACTCTCAGTGTTACTATGTAAACAGTGAAATAAAAGAGAAGATCTAACATCCTGCATATAAAGCATGTTCCAGTTGAAAATATTAAATAGGTTTGTGGGACCTTATACTAGAATTTGATCTATGAAAATTGAATGCAGTGGGATTTATTGTTGTTTTTAAATTTTTTCATGAAATCAATTCATTTATGTTCTACATTACATAACAATTTACTTAACAGTAAATTACCATTTGAAATGGTGTTATTGACATCATGCTGTGATTTAGGGTAACCTTACTTGAAACTATAATAGTTATCCTTTGTCCATGGTGGTGTCTCAGCTCTACAAGCAGTAAATCACATCATTTTAATCCACCTGGGAAATGCAGGTGATGACCAAGGCATTAGCAAAACCATTTCACACCGGTTGTGGGAACAGACAGCTAATGCCTGGACTCAAAGCCATGGAAGGTCTTGACATATTATACATGGTTAGAGGAGTGTGAACTCATCTTACTCTGTCTTCTTCAGCTCCCCAACCGTGCAAATTGTCCCATTACACTAAATCACGGTGATTCGACAAAAATGAATTCCTATCCTTTGGGATAAAAGTGAAGCACAGAAACTGGTTTCTCACTTGCTGTGGATATGAATCCAACCTAAAGTCTTTGATTGATGAGAAGAGGCTCTGAAGAATAATGCCTTCTCAAAAAAGAATAAAGCTAACAATCAGCATCACTGCATTTTTCTCTGAATGCATTTGCTTCACTGTTTGGATAAATGAGGTCGAAGTGACTGTGTGTTTGATTTTTTTTTTCTTGAAAAATATTTAATATATGCATCATAAAAACTCAGAATATTGTTTTAGTGAAAGTTGTGTTACTAGAAGTTGTCTTACCTACTTATTTAGCTTAAGCTAATAGATCAAACTGATTGGAAGATAGGAAACCAAACTTTTTTCATCATAAAATCCCAACTTGAAAAATATATAATTTTGTG